CGGTAGGTAGATCTCTATCTGGCATCCAAATAACCTACAGTACCTACAGTACAAGCACCTCTTTGTGCAACTGAATGCTGTACGCCATGAGAACTGTTTATATGGAAGAGGATGTTGGGAAACAGCCAACAAAGCGGCGTGTTCGAGGTCGATCTAGGGGGCTAAGCAGCAGGGGGAAGACGACAGCAGTCATTATTTTACATCTACTGTGCTTACCACTAGTCTATGGGGTCGATGAGCGGGCACTGCTGATTAAACTATACGAAACTTCAGGAGGAGCTTCATGGAAGCGATCGGCTGGTTGGGGCGTCGATGCCAATGTGTGCGAGTGGTTTGGGGTCGATTGCGAAGATATGGAGGGCGAACAAGTTGTCACCAAGATCTCACTTCCACGAAATAATATGAATGGGATCATTCCTCCCGATTTGTGGCACTTACCACACCTCAAGATCGTGGATTTTCAAAAGAATCTTCTAACTAGCGCATCATTGGAGGGCCTTAAGCCCGCCTCTCATTTGATGTCAGCCGAGACACACACGATAAAAGACATAGAAAACATGGAAGTGCCTCCTGAGAGAAGTCCAATAGAAATTATTGACCTCTCCAAGAACCACTTGAAAGACCTCAATGGGATTGCTTTTGCGCAAGATACTCTCCGAGACATCAACGTAAATCGCAATCTAATCGACAATACCATCCCTCTGGAAATTTTCGACTGTACGAATCTTGAGGCCTTGCAAGTCAGCTACAATCAGATTAAAAGTCCACTCCCGACACAAATCGGGAGATTGTCCCATTTGTATACATTTCATGCAAACTCGAATCGGATCTCAGGATCTTTGCCAACCGAATTGGGAATTCTAAACAAGATTGAAGTCTTGGGGTTGGGCGAAAATAGGATTACCGGTACTTTGCCCTCCGAAATCAACGCAATGCAGAACCTACGGCAACTCTCACTGCACAGAAATACTCATCTGAGCGGAGAACTACTCACGTTTGGGAGCATGCCATTTCTAGAAGTTCTTTCTCTGGAAGGCAATGCAATGTCTGGAACGATTCCTTCCGGCTTTCTGAGACACAATACCAATACAGCAACGCCGATCACGATTGATCTTGCAAACAATAATATTGCAGGGACGCTCCCAAAGTCACTTGAGAGGTTTGAAGCAATGAACATTGATCTCATCGGGAATTATATCATTGACATCCCTCCAGAGCTATGTCGTAAGGGAGGCTGGATGGATGGTTTGGTTGAGCAGTTTGGGTGTGACGCAATTTTATGTGGTACAGGAACGTTTAACCGTGATGGTCGAGCTGAAACTCCTGGGGCCTGCAAACCTTGCTCTGATGACTCCAATTTCCTTGGGGCAGTAAAATGTGACTCTGCAGCTATGGATGATTGGGAACTAATGCGGAAGGTCTACGATGCATTGGCAGGAAACAAGTGGACCAGAAGAGATGGGTGGGAGATATTCGAAGAAGACGCTTCAAACATCAGCACTGCAGTCATTTGTGACGAATTCTTTGGTGTGCATTGTACTAATGGAGAGATATCAAGCATCGCGCTTCAAGACAATGAACTCTTTGGTACCGTCCCGAATGCTATCTTCTCCCTTCCATCTCTAGAAGATTTAGACCTTTCCAGCAACAACATCCAGATGGATAATTTCTCTGGCGCAACTCGTGCAGAATCAATAAAGTCCCTCAAATTGTCGAATGCGAAGGTGAATGGCATCGAAGGCATTGGGCACCTATCCACTCTTGAGTATCTTCATTTGGACGGGGTGTCGATCGATGTACCTTTGCAAGATGAATTTTTTGATCTGACAAACCTGCGTGTCCTAGACATGCAGCACTCAGGCGTCCAAGGACCCCTGCCTACTCTCCTCGGGCGGTTGACCAATCTAGAAGTGTAAGTCATTTTGGATTTGTCCTGTTCCCACGTCTATGAATGGATCAGATTGTATCTCACAATGAGCTCGTACACAAAGATTAAACCTATACGGTAATTTTCTCACCGGGACGATACCCTCGGAGATTGGTCTTCTAGCGTCATTGGAAGTACTGGAGTTATCGGAAAATCATTTTCACGGTCATTTGCCAGCTGCACTATTGCTTTTGTCAGGTTTGACGACTCTTTCGATCAAGCAAGCGAACGGGACTTTAGATGGCAAGTTACCATCCTTTTCAAGCTTTACACAGCTGAGAGAGTTGAATCTTGCCTCAAATAGATTCCAAGGATCGATCCCTGACAACTTCTTGCAAGGGATTCAGAATAAGTCCTCAAACATCTCAGTATCTCTAGGATTCAACCAACTGACCGGGGTCATTCCACAGTCCCTCGTGTCATTCGATCGGCTAAACCTGCGTCTCGAAGGCAATCAAATATCGGGGTGAGTATAAATAAAAGGAAAGTCTTTGTGTTACATGCGAAACAATGTCACTCAACATACACTTTCAGGATTGCTGCTCCAATTTGTGACCGTGTAAACTGGATGAATGGTGTGGTTTCCGAGTTGGAGTCGGAATCTCGGTGCAATGGTATTCTCTGTCCCCCAGGAACGTGGAATCGGTTCGGAAGAGAGACAGTGGCTATTCAGTGTGCCTCGTGTCCTGATTCGACGTTCTTCGGACAAGTCAGTTGTGGTGTATCAGAAAACAGCAGGGAACAAGAGATACTTGATCTTTTGTTTTCCAGAACGGGTGGCGAATATTGGACGAAGCCGCACGATAACTGGCTGAATCCCAGTGTTCCAATATGTCAACGTGAAGGAATACTGTGTTTGGGTGATTTGAGCGACAACGAAGGCGTTAGGGTGATTCACATGAATGATTTTGGCCTTCGTGGTACTATTCCGTCGGAAATTTGGGAGCTCAGCAGTCTCCAGGAGATTGCTTTTTCAAACAACCAAGTAGACTTGAGCTTCGATGGAATCGAGCGAGCAGAGCGACTGCAGGGTCTCAAATTTTCAAGGTGCAATCTTCGGAGTCTGGATGGATTGGAAAATGCACATTCAGTACGGGAGCTCCACATTGCGCAAAATCAGTTTGGTGGCACTATTCCCGAAGAGATCTTCAGCCTCGATAATCTTGAAAAGGTGTACCTGAACAACAATCACATCGAAGGATCCATTCCCTCTACCATCGGGACGCTGAGTTCTCTGGAGGTTCTTGATCTTTGGAATAACCAGCTAAATTCCTTCTTGCCATCGGAAATCGGTCTTTTGTCGAACCTCGTGGAACTGAATCTGAGTGCAAACCAACTCTCCGGGACCATTCCGCCAAAGGTACTTGAACTTCCAAACCTTGCCTTATTTGACATTAGTAGCCAACGTGGGACGAAGTTTGGAGGACCAATTCCGGTGTTTGACCAAAGTCCGTCCATCTCCTTCTTGGACTTGAGCGAAAACGCATTCACAGGTGTTTTGCCACAAGACTTTTTATTGCAGGTGAATGCGACAGAAAAGATTGAAGTGAACCTTTCTCGGAACCAAATCAATGGAGCAATTCCAGAAGACTGGGGAAGGCTTAATAATCTGAATGTTGATCTTTCTGGCAACATGATTACGGGCATCCCTGATAGTCTGTGTCATCACGGGGGCTGGAATGATGGAAAGATCGATCTCTATGGCACCTGCGATGCAATCCTCTGTCCTCCTGGCACAGCATCCGACAAAGGGCGACAGATCGCAGCAGTAGACCCTTGTCAACAGTGCGACGGTGACATTGTCAGTGCTCCTTACTTTGGCTCCACGGAATGTGGAAATCCAGAACTCCTTGCCGAGCTTACGGTGTTGTCGGAATTCTATGCTGCCACAAATGGGATAGGTTGGCTCGAGCAGGATGGTTGGTTGACTAATACCCCAGCTTGCTCATGGTTTGGCGTAGACTGCGACGACGATGGGCATGTTGTAAAAATCGACCTGGAAAACAACAATGTCGAAAGCGACTCTGTATTTGCCACATCGAAGCTCCTCTCACTCCCGAAATTGAAGGTAAGTCTTGCTCCTTGGGTCAACGAAAACGACCCCCCTCTCACTTGATCGATTCTTCGATACGCAGTCACTGGACTTGAAGGGAAACTCGGTCAATATCGACTTTGCACAGCTACCGAAGAACACGCGACTGCAAGTTTTGCAGCTATCTGGCACCAATATCCGCACACTCGATGGGATCTCAATTGCTTCGGACCTTCGAATTTTGCATGCAACGAATAATCTGATCCAAGAAATACCCGATGAGCTGTATGGGTTGACCTACTTGCAATCATTGTTCTTGTCTTTCAACTCCATTACTGGAACAATTTCTCCAATGTTCTCGAGCTTGTCCAATTTGGAGCAACTTTATTTATTCGGTAATCATTTGACAGGTACAATTCCAAAGGCGATTGCGTCGATGCCAGTATTGACCGATTTCATTGTCGGCAAGAATTTGCTCAGTGGAACGATCCCAGCAAAGATGAGCGCAATGGAAACTCTCGAGCAATTTTCTGTTCTAGACCAAGAAGGCATTGATTTGATAACTGGACCTGTGCCGAGCTTTTCACGAGCCAAGAACCTATGGTACGTCGGACAATGCATTTTATTCGTCATTCCGCTTTGTGGCACCTAATCGCTCCATTGCACCGTGCAGGTACTTCGACGCGTCCAAGAATGATCTAACCGGAGAGATTCCAAATGACTTTCTGCGTGATTCAGTTAACAAGAATGCTAGCATCACGGTGTACTTGCGAGAAAATGCGATCACCGGTACTTTCCCTGCGTCGCTCTCGCAGTTTGAATTCTTGGATATAAACTTGGCTGGGAATCGGATTGAGAGTATTCCCGGGCAGTTTTGTGACAAAAATGAATGGATGCAGGGAAATGTTGGTCTCATTGACAACTGTAATGCAATTCTCTGCCCACCTGGAACTTTCAACCAATTCGGGTTTGAAACGCCTACGACCAAGTGCGTCCCTTGTGCTCACCTCGAAGGTAGGAAGTATCTCGGGGCAACACACTGCGACGATTTCGCTTCGGAACGTGAGACCTTGGTTCGTTTGTTTGCGTCCACTGGAGGGGAATTTTGGGAGAACAATGATCTGTGGAATACCGATGCGCCTATTTGCAGTTGGTGGGGACTTCGATGCGAAGATGGAGACTTGCAGGATGAGGAGGGTATTACAAGTATCAAATTGGAAGAGAATGGGCTTATGGGTACCTTGGCACCCATTTGGTCGCTTCCGAGGCTCCGTGATTTCCGAGTTTCTGGCAATCCAGAACTGTCTGTGGACTTACAGAGCATGCATGCTGTGGATTCTTTGGAAGTGCTCCAATTGTCGCAAATCAAACTCTCTAGTTTGAGCAATCTTGCCAGGGCTACTAATCTTGGAGACTTGCGCATTTCTGACTGTGACTTGAAAGGCACATTCCCCTCAGAACTGTTGCAACTTTCGAATAGACTGGAATCACTCAACATTAGCCGGAATTTCTTCGTCGGGACACTTCCAACCATGATTGCAAAATTGTCCAAGTTGAAGAGGCTCGACATTTCCTCTAATGACTTTCTATCTACCATCCCGAGCCAGCTTGGTTCGCTTACTGATTTGGAGATGCTCGGTATGTCATCCAAAGTTGCTATTCATTCCATTCTCTACTATCTTACACTCCGTATTTCTCTTCCAGTACTCTCCGACAATATGATTTATGGTACAATACCAAACGAGTTTTCTAATCTGCCATCACTTCAATTATTCGCAGCCTTGAGGCTAGACAAACCAGGTCCTAGGTTGACTGGCCCGCTTCCTCCATTTGACAATGTGCCTCAAATGACGACGCTTTCACTTCAAGGAAACGAGCTCAAGGGTAACATTCCGAACAATTTTTTGAGTGCATCAAAAGCCATTGAATCAGTCAGTTTGGGTTTGAATATCTTGACTGGAAGCGTACCGGAACACCTAGCGTCAATCGATGGGTTGACGCTGGATCTGGAAGGAAACCAGATCCTTGATTTTCCAACAGCATTTTGCATAAAGAACACACAAGGATGTGCTGGCTTTCTCTGTCCCCCAGGGAGCGCAAACAAGCATGGGAAGTCATTGGATTCATCTAGTGCTTGTTCGAACTGTACAGTCCGTGATCAAGATGCTTTCTTCGGAGCAATTGCATGCGCGCCTAGCCAGCGTGAAATCCTATTGGATCTCTATCATTCGTTGGGAGGCAAAGATTGGCACCGAAACGACTTCTGGGGTTCTGCAGCGAATGTATGCGACTGGTATGGGGTTGGATGTAGCCAGGGGCAAGTCATCAGTATCAATCTTCGTGCCAACAACCTATTTGGAATACCCAATCCAAGCCTCTTTTATCTGCGCCATCTCAAGACTCTATGGTTGTATTCAAATCCAATTAGTTTCTCGTTCGAGAATATTGGAAGTGCCAATAAACTGGAAGATCTACGTTTGGATTCGACAAGACTACACTCCTTGAAAGGGATTGGGTCGGCCACATCTCTAATTTCCTTCGATGCAGCATTCACGAAGCTGCGTGGAACACTTCCAGAGGAAATTCTGGATCTGACCAATTTGCGGCATCTTTCCTTGGGGCATAATGGCCTGTCTGGCTTTTTGCCGCAATCTCTGGGATCAATGAAACTCTTGAAATCGCTTGCACTGGGATCGAATTTGCTGTCAGGACAATTGCCAGCGTTCGACAACCTTCATTTCTTGGATTATATCGACCTCTCGGAAAACTTTTTCACCGGGTCCCTTTCCAAGGATATCTTCGGATTGCTCTCAGTCGACAGCAATCCGTCTCTGTTGCTCACAAACAATGCACTTACGGGGATTGTGCCAGAGGAATTTGCTCGCTTCAAACAAATGTCACTTCGATTGAGTGGCAACAACATCTTGGGTTTGCCATTGAGTCTTTGCTACAATGATATGTGGAATGATGGTGATGTGGGTGACTATTGGTGCGATGGTATCTTGTGCAAACCAGGAACGTACAATGCGAGGGGCCGCAAAACCGGTACTGGTTCCAAGTGCAAACCATGCAGGAGCGCTATTTACTACGGCGCCAATGAATGCTTGGACAACAACTTCTCAGGGGCCACAAGATCATTCGCACACACATCGATACTTCTACTACCTCTTGTTATACTATTGTTTATATAAATTAAAGTCTCCAAGTTTCTTTGCCTTCTTCTCTCCCACCTAGAAGAAGGATAGCGAGAAGATATCAAACAGCTGAAGAACACATATCTGATCTGCCTACATTTTTCGTAAAACCACAAATATAGCTACAACCTCATACGTTGGCTTGCGACGACTCAACCTTTGGCATTTCCATTTCTGGAACTGGTGCTGATTCTTCCCCAGCCGGCAAAGGTGGCGCTTGCTGTTGCGCCGCTGTCTCCGCTGGTGGATCAGCAGCAGCAACAGGAGCTTGTGGAGGTGGCACGGCGCTAGTGGATGTTGATGTCTGTAGCCTGTTTCCTGCGTGGCTCTGTTGGAATGAAATACAAAGACATGGGTGAGAACCCCCGAAAAATCATCCTACTTCACTCCTCCTCCTTCCAACTTACCGTTGGGTAGAAATCGCTTTGGCTTAATCCGCTTCGAGCATTAAAGTACCACGGGTCACCTTCTGCGTACATGATTTCCAACGAAGGAAGTTCTCCGTCGTCTCGTCCGTAAACGTCAAACGCCCACATGCTGTTGACTTTATCATTGAGGGCAGTTGTTGTTGTTGTTGTTGGTGCCTTGGTTCCCTGTTGTGGAATGACAAAAGCGTTGGCAAGAGACAGGATTAAAGCGAGAGATGATAGTTCGAGCTTCATAGTTTGATGTTGTGAAGTATTCGTTTTGTAAGAAGTGGAGGCAAGTCAAATCAAAGTATGTGTCAAGTTGAATGAACGAATGAATGTTGGAAGCATTTCAGCGATGAAAATGAAGGACGTCAGCGAAGTCATTTTTATTCGGATTAGTCCAATTCAGGTTTGAGTTTGGCAATCTTGTTTGCATGTCTGATCATGCAGCAGGTGGTGACAAAGCAAACGCAGAGTTGAAGTTTGAAGAAAAGAGTATTGTTGTTGCTAACAATTCAATTTATCCTGATTTATCATGTATAGTTACAGCGTCCCAACGACTAAGTTTTTTTAACCCAAAAAGCGTGCACAAAATTTATGCTTGGGCTTGAGCACCAGCGGCCTGCATATCGGCCATAGCTTGTTCAGGCATGGTTTCTGGAACAGATTGCTCGGGCATCGTTTGGGCTGGAGGAGGCATGGAAGCTGGTGCGGAAGCAGTTGGTACAGGCGCAGACATCATTTGGTTTGCAGCTTGTGAAACGGGATAGAAATCAGTTTGCTTGATGCCAGACCAGGGTTGGTAGCACCAGTCATCCTCGCCAACTGCCTTGGGGGCAAAGTCAGTTTGACCAATACCACCCCAGGCATCATACATCCAGTTGTCAGGTGCGACCCCGGGCGCCAAATGGTCTTCTTGTGAAATGCTTCCATTGTGTTGATAAAACCAGTCACCACCAGATCCTGTCGACGACGAAACGGCAGTCAATATTCTCATGTTGCTAGAAACGGAGGTGAAGGCTTGGGCGCCAGAGCATGCTAGTAGGAAAGCGGTAATCTTCATCTTGTTGATTCGGTTGGAGTGCTACTGGTAGTTGACAGAAAACAATTGAATTGTAGAATTGTAATGGTGTCACAAAAATTCATTCGAAGGAATGGCAGCCAAAATCGAAAAACGTTGGCGAGTTTGCTCTTGAGTGACGTGTAGATTTAGCAACCAATCAAATGACGTTTTGTTTTTGGTATCATGTCTGCACGTACGTACGACGATGTCACTTATGGGAGAACAAATGGTTTGAGAATCTTTTCTGCTTCCGATCGGATAAATCGCATCAGCTTCCTCTTGGATGCATTTGGAAAAAGATACATTTTCACCATTACATGTACTGTTGATCGGGCACTTTCTGAATTCTGCGTAGCTGACACCATGGTTTCAAAGATTACAGATGTTGCGCTGCTCTTTTTACTACCTCTTGATCAACATTTTGATGTGATGTCAACCACACCAAACGGCAGAATTACAGATGATCTTCCTTAGCGGTCATGACGACATCGTACTACTATGGTCTTGTGCATTTATCTATAACTCCCTCGGTTCAATGACATGATTTTAAAATTGTCGTACACCATAAAGCCATTTTGGATTTGAAAATACGATCGGACGAATGCTCCCGTCGGACGAAGCCCCTGTCTCATTTGTCAGTAACAAGAAACTTGCTTGTTCGTTCCACCACAAAAATCGCTTTATATTGAAATCGACATCCAGATGGGCAGAAACAGAACGCGCAATATTGGTCCAACAACCTTTTGCATTGAATGATTGAAAAAGTGTACGAAGTTTCTTTTTTTTTTTCTTCCAAAAAAAGGGGGAATGATGATCTCTATTTTTATTTTCAGTATACTAAACGACAACAATGATATGATAGTTGTACAGCTAGAAATCGGTAGTGCCGTGCTGAAAACGCAAGCACATATGTATAATGATGTCATGGTAGATTTCGTGATGCCACTCGAAATTTTTCAGAAACAGAAAGACTGGGAGACTGCGATTATGCTTTCGCAGGAGCACTGGCGCCAACCGTCGTTTCGGGCATGGGAGTGGCAGGGACGGACTCGGGAAGTTCCGGGGCTGCTTCGGGAGGAGTAGTAGTAGTAGGAGGAGGAGCTTCTCCAACAGTTTTGGTGGGTGCAGGGAAAAATGATGGCATGCGGTTTCCGGCATGTGATTGAGGGTAAAATTGTTGTTCGCCGATTCCGCTCCAGGGTTGGTAATACCAATGGTCATCCGAGAATTCTTCGCCAACGGCTTCCCAGCTGATTTCACCAACCTTCAACGCGGTAGCCTTCTTCATGGAAGAATTTGGAGCAAAGGCAGAGGCACCGGAGGCAAGTGCGAGAGTGAGGGCGACAAGGAACTTCATGATGTTGATTCTGATGTTGACTGTTGTGCTGCAATCTTTCGAATTTCCAAAGCGATTTGTGCGTGAGAACAAAAATGAGCCTCATCAATCGACTTGGCATCAACTGACGTCAGCCTTAGTGGAGTGAAGTTCTTCGTTAGCGTTATATCGACATCAGCGATTGGCGACGCTCTTTGAGAACACCATTAACGCTTCTTCTGTGAAAATGATGTGTCGTAGAAGCATCGCGCTCGCCCGATGATGTAACTTCAATGTTGGTACATTTTCCTACACAAAATTTCGTGGAATTTACAGCGGATGATTGATCGTTTGGCCAACCTGCTCAGCGACACCTGCCACAACTGGTGGTGCACATCACTTCCTTCTGTCCATTTTCACGTTGGTTTTGTGAGATTATATCAAGCCTCACATTCCCAAGTGAAAACACCTTCAACACACAACGACACGGTTGTCTTCATCCATCCCCTTTCAACTTCCCAATCAACTTTTTATAAACAGTGAAAAGCGAGATTCATCTATATTCGTTTCTTACACAGAAACATCCAATCTACTAAAAGGGCATCAACATCATGAGGGGTTTCACATCAATTTGCATCCTTTTCTTCTTTCTCACCACTTCGGTGAATGGTTTCACAACCAAAAAGAGAGAGCAAGGAGGACACAAATTTCAACCAGTCAATGTTGGAAAAGATGACAAGGGTCAACAGGAGAGCGTTCCTGCTACCTCTCCCGCCGCCCCTCTTTTTGCATTCCCTCCAAGCTCGGCTGTCTCTGCCATTCCTGTCATTTACGAAGACGAATTGGACGAAGACATTAATATTTCCTACGGAGTTGCACTTGTTTCCTGTGCTCTTTCCTTGGCACTTGGGTTCGGATTTGGGTACGGAGTATAAGACAATATATATATTGAATATATGTGTTCCATTGCGCTACGTTACTGCCAATGCTAAATCGTCCCTGTCCAATGAAAAATATTCTTTCATTGGACGTATGGGGACCTAAGCAGTGAATCTTTCATGCAGGGTCAGATCACTGCGACTGTTGTTGGTGGATCCATCAAAGAACAATGATTGGATCGGCCATCATACATTTGGAGACATATAGATAAAGCTTGTGTATACATAATAAAGAGTTTATTCCGACCTATCTATCCATCTCTCGACACCTTCTCTTTGTTGAAATTCGTAGCTTTTTGTTTTGGAGAACCTCATGCTAATATATATTGCATCGAATTGCATGCCATCAATCTTCCAACTTGAAGCGAAGGAGATGAGCCATCACGATTGATTGCTCCTTTTGAACCAGTCAGTCGCTTATTCCAATAATCGCCTAGATTACTTTATTTCTAATTTCATATTAATTCCAATAGGAAAATACCCAGTCTTCGGATGGAGTGAGAAAGAAAAAGCGCCTGCCGTCCAGACCAGTTCGAAGAAGTGATCAAAGGAATCCAAACATTCCATTCTGGTATCTATTAGCCGTACAGAGACCGTGGAGACTGGAATCTTACTTTTGTTCCTGCCGGGATCCAAAGATTTGACTTCAACCGACTGGCATATCCTGGGTCTCGCAACTTCTACGTGCGTGGTTGATGCTTGAGGAAAAATCAACGGGGGGTTTCTTACCGCATCACGGTGCCGTAGCGACACAATTTCTCTCTGAACTAATCAACCATGAAGATCGTCGCTGCCTCTCTCGCCCTTGTTGCCTCGGCTTCTGCCTTTGCCCCTTCCTCCATGGACAGCGTGAGTCATAGAATAGTTTAGAATCTTGATGGATGGACAAGCATCGAGATGAACATTCTTCTCAAAACGACCCGGTCAGAGACGATGATGTTCTCTGCACTGGGAATCTATCCAAATCCATCCGAAATTCATTGTCATTCCTATCAATCATGTAATCTCACACGCTATTCTTTCTCTTCTATCTTCTCTCTTTGTCTCTACAGCGCAACACTGCTCTTCAAATGTCTTTGAAGAACGACCTTGCCAACGCCGGAAAGGTTGCCCTTGCCGGAGCCGCTGCTTTGACCGTCGCCACTGCTCCCGCCGCTGCTTTGACCAAGTCCGAAATCAACTCCCTCACTTACTTGCAAGTTAAGGGAACCGGTCTTGCCAACAGATGCGCTGAGGTCGTCGGAGAGGACACCATCACCCCCAAGTCTGGACAAAAGCTCGTTGATATGTGCATCGAGCCCAAGGCCTGGGCCGTCGAAGAAGAAATCGGCAAGGGTGGAAAGACCGAGAAGAAGTTTGTCAACTCCAAGGTCATGACCCGTCAGACTTACACTCTTGAGGCCATTGAGGGACCACTCAAGGTTGAGGGAGGAAACATTGTCTTTACCGAGAAGGAAGGTATCGATTACGCCGCCACCACCGTCCAAATGCCCGGAGGTGAACGTGTTCCTTTCCTTTTCACTGTTAAGGATCTTGTTGCCAAGGGAAACGGAGGCTCCTTCAAGCCTGGATTCCAAATGGGAGGTGACTTCACCACTCCTTCTTACCGCACAGGTCTCTTCCTTGACCCCAAGGGACGTGGAGGAACCACCGGATACGATATGGCCGTCGCTCTTCCAGGTCTTCAATCTGGAGAGGAGGGTGATGATGCCCTTTTCGGCGAGAACAACAAGACCTTCGATGTCACCAATGGACGTATCGAATTGGAGGTCAACAAGGTCAACGCCGATGAATCTGAAATTGGAGGAGTCTTTGTTGCCACCCAACTCGGAGATACCGATATGGGATCCAAGGTTCCAAAGAAGGTTTTGACAAAGGGAATCTTCTACGCCAAGGTCGAGTAAATCAAATTTTCAAGCTAGTGCAGCGGAAACCTCTTCCTTTTTATCCGAACTCTCCAATTGTTGTGGCCACGTATTATTTTATTATATAGAAACCTTCACTTTCCCGCAAAAGCGATCATTTCATATTGAATATATCGGATGAAATGAATTGATAGCTCCTGCTTAATGCAAAACCTAAATAGCATAGTCCTATAGGTTTAGTTTACTCGGGTACTCAGTGTTCTTTGTTTGGTTTTATGTACTTCCCATCTGATACCAAATCGTTCTCTCTTGACTTTGCATAACATCAAGCTGGCTTGTTTCAACTCTTATCTCATGTTCTTTAGTTCATACCTTTTCCATCATGTTGTGGTGGATTGGAGGATGAATTTACTTTTGATTTCAATTCTTCGACAGATATCAATTTTATATCCATACTCTTTCGATCTCGAATTGCAATGACACCGACATGAAATGCTACTCTGTCCATGGCATTCGATCAGGATACCCCCCCGCCCAAGCAACGGAAGAAGAGTGAGTGATGACGTACTATTTGAAAGGACTGAAAAAGTCCCAAAATGTCGCATTTGTCGCCGGCACGTCGAAATGCCGTTGTGTGCACGCTGGCACGCCCACATCCTTCGACCAAGTGTAAGCAGCCGAATGCCCCACCGTTCACGACCTGAGCTCTGGGAAGCAAAACGAAACAACAGCAATATCCAATAAATCCTTGACCATGAAGCTCTTTCAAGCATGGATTCTCACTTCACTATGGGCTTCTACCCTTGCCGCTCCCGCAGTTGTTTGGAAGAAGAATAGTCAAGCCGGAACCCGGACACTACAAGTCTCGGAATCCATTGAAGCATCTGAATTGATGACCTCTGTTTTGGAGGATGTTTCTCCTTCAGAATCATCATCATCATCGTCGTCATTGTCTTCGGTTGTCTTCCTTGTCAAAAAAGGCGAAGGCGGTTCCGAGTCTCTGACTGAACTTGCGTCGAATGGAAAACTTCCAGAAACAACCAATAAATACAACGATGCCACCGGTGTCTACCATCATGTTTCGGGCATTGAAAGCCCAGTCGCCATGGTTCGTGAATGCGGCCGTGCCAACAATAATGGACACAAGGTTCTACAAGTTACTCTTAACGAATTGAATTCCAAATTGGCACCTCCCACTGAGGTTGAGGATACCAAGTCCAAGAGTGCCATTAAGAGAGCTAAGGATCTTGGAAAGGCCGATGTCCTTGTGGTTCTAGTAGATCCCCGTGAAGACATTGATGAAACGATTGCACGAACCATTGATAATGAAAATGTCGAATCCGTTGTTTTGACTGCCATTCGATCCATTGATGAGGTCAAGCTCGAACGTCGTTTGATGGCCCAGAAGCGTCACAATGCCATGATGAAGGCGGGAGAGAGACATTTGGAATCCAGACGCCGTCGTTTGGAAGAAGACAATGGGGACAACAACAACAACAACAATAATAACAACAACAACAACAATGCGGACATGAGTGGAGTATACTACGTGCACATGACTCCAAATATTCTTTCTGGTCTGTTGTTTGGATTCATGTTTGTTACTGTCACCTACATTGGTATTCAATGCATGGCTGCCATTAGCGGACAAGATGTCTATGTCAGCAAGATGCCTACCGTCGGACGTGAGGCTTAAACAATTATATTTATACTATAGTTCGATTTTCAAAATAGATCACATGATAATATTAAACAATAATAGTAATAGTATTAATAATTCCACAACACTAATACTGTCAAGGCTTGTTTCCAAGTTTCATTGTGGTGACCATTCATCGGTGCATTGATTACTCATGATAATGCGGTTCAGAATGCGACAGTTTCCAGACCATGAGGAGCGTGCGACACGACTTGTATACTACTTATCTACGATGTCAGGTTGAACCTCACCAGCATGACAACTAAAGTGACATGATGATGATCCTTGATCATTTATCACCTAGTAGCATCTCAGCATGCTAGATATTCTACAGTGTGGGAAGGCCTCAAAACCATGGTTGCACGGAAGGATTGGCAAAATTGCTTATATATCCAAGCAGTCAGTTTGTATTTTATCAGCATACGACAACTGAAGTTACTCCAAAGGAACGAGGATAATGATACTTCCGGTAGTGCACTCGTACTCGTATTTTCAATACTGTACTTGATTTTTATACGATTCATTCATATTGATCGAAAATGACGTCCATCCTTCGCACCACACCTGGTTGATGGAAAGTAACATAACCTATTCGACCCAAAACCCCTTCGCAGACTATGTACACATCTTACATGCTATGCAATACGATGAAATATTTCCCTGCTGATAGGGGCACATCTTTCACTGTTGTGACGTTTGTCCCTACTTCGAACTTCTTTGTTGAAGGTTTCGGATCGCGAGCAGTCTACACGCACTGCCTACCAGATCTTGTTCTCAATCATCCTTTTGGCACACACTATCTCCCGACAGCCGTATTATCCAAAATCAACACCATGAAGCTTTCTCTTACTCTTGCTTTCATCACTGGCGCCGCTGCCTTCTCGCAGGTGAGGATCCAAAAGAATCCACTGGATTTGTGATTTTTCCCCCCTGAGGATCTTTGAAGGACGGATGCAGAAGAGAGAAAAAGACATCGATCGAAACCCCAAAGTGACCATGGTCGATATGGCCGTTGGACTTTGGGGTTGATGGATATCATTCTTTGGGATGCATGGACGTCATGCACAGCATCTACTGCGTCCGCCTCTGCCAGCGCCGCCCTACTTGCTGATTATCTTTATCAAAGCGTTGATTCTCTCGTTCCATCAATTCTGACAATTTTTGTTTTCCCTTCTTTTCTGCTTCAGGAATCTTCCCGCCGCCAAGCCCTTTCTGGAATTGCCGCTGCCGGAGCCGCTTTGGTCCCTGCTGCCGCCAATGCCGCCGCTGGTGAATCTCCACGATTCTCCGTCTTTGGTTTGATCGGTGACGGAGGTGCTTACTCTGAGGGTGCCGCTTACGGAAGCGATCAATCTACCAAAGTCTACTCTCCTTACTCTGTCTACGGAGAGGCCAGCGAGAAGTCCCTTTACAAGGAAGGAGCTGCCGAATACGTTGCCCGCAAGAAGGCCGTCGTCGCCGAGTCCAAGGTCCGCCTTCAAAAGCTTCCCGCTTACGTTGCCAAGTCCAAGTGGTTCGAGGTCACTGATGAGCTCAGCCGTTTCATGTACGAGACCCGTAGTTCCATCAACTACCTTTCCACCACCCCTGAACAAAAGAAGGCCGCCAAGGAATTCTACGTCGCCATTGAGAACGTTGCCAACAACGCCCGCCTAAAGAGACAAGATGCTTGCGCCGCCGCTGTCAGTGATGCCATTGCCAAGCTTGAGGCTTTGAGCTTCTAAATCAGTATTTGTTTTATTGATTCATGAGACAGACACATGGCGAAACGAAATTAAAACCAACACAAAAAAAAACGACTCTGGGGAAAGCTAGGAGTATAGAATAAAAAACCGAAGCCGTACCCTTGGCGGTTCTCTTTTCGATGTAACAGTATGTAGTGCACTTTGTCATCGACACATATATACTCTGCTCTGTCATTTTTCAGAAGCATTATAATCAGGCATGGACGATCGTAACTTTGTTTCCTTCTAGCTATGGACCGTCCTGCACCAGGTCATATAGAACCGACACGAACTGATACATATCTTGGTGTCTCTGGGATCCTAATCTCACCACCCGATTCTAATGCCATCGGTTCCCTTTCTGCTGACGTTGTCTCAGGGCATACCTGCTTCCAGTTAATAAAAGCAACCTAGAATCATTCTCGACCGCATTGGAACGGAATGACAATAGATGATAAGAATGGTCTTCAGAGCTGGCACATCAAGCAGTCGTCATCATATATTATAGATTTGAGCGAATTTTCTAGTTCAAATGATCACCTGTCGAGCTCTGTAACTAAATATGCCTTCCTATTTTTACCTACCCTTCAGTGCTTTCAATCTCAAGACAATCTTCAACAAAGGTTGTTTCTTCACCTACAAACACGTACTATTTCATGATGAATTGAAATCAACCTGTGGTGGAGACAACACTGTTATTGATTGTTGTTGTATTTCCTTTAGTTGCCTATTCTTCTGCGCTTTTATTTGGCATGGCCGGCAGATACTCCTTCCAGTTGAAAGGCAGTTTGTGCTTGAGTGTCACTTCTCCCGTGCGAGGATCAAAGACAATATTCTTCTTGAGCTTCAGTCGCTTGTGTGCGGTTGTCTTCATTCGCTTTCTAGATCGAGTGTGTTTTCGCTTGGGCACTGCAAACCAAATCCAACTTTGATCTTCCTCCTCTTGTTGTTGTTCTTGTTGCAGCGGTGTTTCCATGCCTGCCAGTTGTGGCATCCACGGTTGTTGCATGTGTTGTGCTACCGGTGTGAACATGTGTTGATGCCATAAAATTTTGGCGGTTCCGCCCACTCTTTGCCGAATTACGGTCGATACCAAGGATAGAGAATTCCAAATCATTTTGTTTCTGTTGCTTTTGATCTAATTGTATACACGGTAGATTCAGGATCGAGAAGTCAGTGTGTTTGTCGTGCGTGTGTTTAGTTCTCGAGTTCTTTTTCTGTTGCTTCTGTCAGCAGATCAAATTATCGACTTTGTCAGTTTTGTATCCAGTACTTTGACTGCTATACCTGTCACACTTGTTATTGGTGACTTAGGTGTTTATGTACAAGTATGTGTACAGGCAGGATGATGGGCTACTGACTACTGCCGGTATGTCAATGTTGTGGTGAAGTTTCAGTACGTCGCCTGTCCGTCCTCCATGCACGGTAGGGAAATTCACATCGACATATACCACGGCTTCGTCATATTTCCTGTTTCATCAACACCATCTCTCGTTGATTAGTGAGTGTCAGGATCAACAGACGGTAAAGGCAAGGAATCGAAATCAAAACACCAAAACTATGTCCCTTTTATTCGGAAGACTTTCAAGGACGCTGATGCGTCCAACCATTGCACAAAGCAGGACAAACCTACCCAACAACACTACCACATCACTCGTTTCGTGCTCCCCGGCCAATTGGATGGAGTCTCCTGCTTTTTCATTGGTATCCCTTCGATTCAAGGGAGGAGTGAAGACCAACAGTGGTGCCAAGAAGCGATTCCGCGTGCGTGGAGGTGGTTCCATCAAGAGGTATGTCAATGCTATTATACCTGAATAAATGAATGAATTTCTCCAATTGTGCCAGAGATTGGCAATCGTCATTCGAATGTACATGGCGTGATTCTCACAAACTGTTCTATCTCGTACTGAATTTTAATTTATTTACTGTTGACGATAGACGACGATCGGGGACCTCACATAATACAGGATACAAGTCTCGGCAATCATCAAATCGCTTGGGAAGTTCCACTGGGATTGACGGCAAAAAGATGGAACAACGAGTGCGAAAGCTATTGGGCGTCTTTTAAAATCTTGATTATTACAGCAACTGGGATGTTGTCCTTTATACTTGTTTGGGATGATACACTGGACTGCAGATGACCGACCACTAGCCTTTTCCAGTAAGAGAAAAGTCAACGACTATGGATGAATGGAAACCATACTGGCCAAAGGAAAAACTGGAATCTTGTAATCTAGAAAGACCAATCATATCGATATGAAATCTGGTGCACTTCGCTGCCTAGAATAAAAAAGAGCACCATCAACGGATGCTCTCAATTTTGTCCAAAACTCAGGGCTGAATCTCTGCCGACCTAATGCTTCAAAGTTCATACGCTCCTGATGGCATGACATTTGCCAATATTCATGATTAGGATAGAAGCGATGCGCAACCCGCACCCTTTGGCTCACAGAAGGGAAATCAAGACGAGATCTTTTTCTACAAAGGGCGAAGCATAATGTCAAATGAATCAATCCCGATCACGTTGCAAGTCGATCTAGAATGGTGATTGGATCCAGTGTGGTACAAATCTTCGAAAAAAGTAGCGCAAAGCTTGGTGTTATATGTTAGAAACAATCGGCCTGATTCCGGCTGAGATTGCATCTGGCGGTACGACTACGATTTCCCTACGTTTACTGGATGCCTGCTTCTTTGCCCTTTTGACGACGAGGAAGACGGTGGCACGACTATTGAAATCACACGCTTGGAGAAAGCATAGCGGATCGGCAGGGTATTCGAAGACGAGATTGTTGTTGACATATGCGCATAGTACTTTGAAATTGTAAAACCTATTTTGATATTCGTTCCATTCAACAACATTTGTAGGTGCGACTGATTGACTCTTGTTCCACTCTTTACTATTTATTTTATAGCTTGTCGGTCAATTCTGGCACTGCCTCAAACAAATCTTGTTGTAGACCATAGTCCGCCACTTGAAAGATAGGTGCGTCTGCATCCGTATTAATGACGACAATGTACTTGCTATCCTTTCACCACTAAGATGTTGAATGGCCCACATGTCCAACTTGCCTCAAGTGATATATATTGAATCGAACGAATGGGAAGAACGGCATCTTTTGTGTGAGTACATGGATCATAAAAAAAAACACCACTGCCACTGGTGCATTATCAACTTCATCATCTTCTACAGCACACGACCACACACATGTATACATGCACGCATAAGCATTCTATTCACTCACCAATCATTGGGACAGAATCCTGCATCGACGGCCGCCCTAGATGCTCCCACGGCGGCATTGAGCTTGTCGGCCAACTTTTCCAAAATAATAAAGCTGTCACCGCTCTGTTTTCGGCCAGTCTATCTCCTAATGCCACATGATAGACCTTGGTGACGCCATCTGGAATTTCGGTAGGAGCGTCGTTGCCACGACCCACCAGAGTCACACCAAGAAAGAATCCCTCACGGAAGAAACCAGGCGGTAGGCGCCAGTTGGCTATCTTTCGATAGATAGAAATACAACTGCCCTAGTTCGCACAGAAATAAAACCATACATTAAATTGAACATGATGGTACCACCCTTGGTAGCTTTATCCAGTCTTTGCCCTGCTTCTGTTTACATACATCAATTGATAGGAGCACACTCTTGAGCATGCTCCTTATCTTCTGCAAACCGAGCCTCCCCCGTCTCCTCCAGAGGCCGAATCCAACTCAGCATCGATTTCAACTGTTTGAAATCGTTCTCCTTGTCCTTCTCAAACGACTCAATGTCGGAACCGTACTCACTTTGAAGCAGCGCATTCCCAAAGTCAATAAACTTGATCTTCTCACCGTCAAAGACAAGATTGCGTAATTCCAAATCTCCGTGGACGACGCCAGCATCATGTACCGCTTCAAGGTCAGCGAACGCTTGGTTGTAGACACTGGGTTCCAATCGAAAGCGTTGTGCGTGTTGAGGCGCAACCATGTCCTCAAGAGATCGACCTTCATATGTAGTAGCAAAGGCAACAATCTCGCCACGTTCAGGAATCACCCAATACGATGCATTGACTATCGAGCCAACATATAAAAATCGAGGGATCGCCGTCCCTTGAAGATGACACAAGATGTGGTAGACTTGTGTTTCATGTTTAAGCTCACCAATACGAGTGTTGTAGTACTCCTCGTTCCATAAGCTTCGACATAGCAACTTGCAAGCGATGTCAAGAATACCAATCTTTGCCCTGACAGCTTCCCCTATTCTGCCAGATCCGATTGGCCGTGGATTGCCACCCTCAAGCTCGGCAAGGGTCAGTGGTCCAAATCGTGTCAGTGTTGGCTTCCACGATGATTCCTCCCCCTCCTTATCGACAATCAAAATGGTGTCAGGTTCTGGCCAATTGCATTGGTATTCGTCTCTCATCATTTCAATGTATCCTTTTCTCTCCTCATCACTGGTGAACGAAAACAGACCAACTCTATTTCTACACAGCTCTTCATATTCCTTGGCTCCTCCCTTGCTTGGCTGTCGTCGGTTGATTCTTCGCATGTAGTCGTCGTACCATATCGGCATCTCAGAAACTCGCATGCATGATCGGGGGCGTAGTAGTTCCTGATTGGAGCGAGAATTATCATCGTCCCCATGATCAGCATCATCCTCATCAATACCGTCCTCCCTATGACTGCCATCGTCCTCATGATCACCATCGTTGTAAGGTTGACTTTCCCGTCCATCACGGCAATCTACCAAACCAGATGCAGCAAACAAGAAGCGAAACAAACCCACCAAGAAGGGATATTCGCCAATATTTGTCGTCCGAACATCAGGGTCGCAAATGGAGACTTGTGTGTCAGGATATTTGTGAATATGGGTGTAATACTCGGTGGCTATTCTCTTGCCTTCATATCCCCGAGCGGCTATAATAGAAGAGTTTAGTTGTTTCACAGACCAAAAAGGACCTGCAATGTGAACAACCAATTTCCTGTCGTCAGTCACCTCGAGCTTGAGAAAGTCAAATCGATACCCCGTTGACAAAATCCCGTATCGCGTCTTCATGGACAACATGTATGACACAATTTGACGCACTGGGAAGACGTTGTGTTTCATTGTGTACGTCCCGCTCTTTGAATGAGTCGGTACTCTGCTGTTTGTTGCGGATTCGCCATTAGCCACCTCGGGCATTGCTTCCACATGGTCTTCACCTTCGTGAGGATTCCCAATGTCTACTTGTCCAGTGGTGTCTCCGTCTGCCCTGGAAGTGACTGGGGTGTCTGGCTCAAGGTCATATAGGTTCAGGTCCCGTCCAAGGCGGGCAAAATCATTTTCTATTGAGGTCAATGATCCACCCGGAAAGTTCCACGGAGCTTTGTTTTCCATGGGTACCCGTGCTGCATGTTCATTTCCATTAGGCCGTATGTGTGCGAACATCATGTCAGAACCATTGTCAGGGCCAACTTTCGAAGCATATTTTTTGTCCATATCGCATTTCCGGCCAAAAAAAAGCTCTCTATATTCCTCAGGCAGTTGACACGAAGCAAAAACATCCTGCAATCTTATAAATCGTGTCATCATGAGTCCTTCCAAACTGGATTCATTTCCGACGAATGCATTTTTCATCGTTTCAGTAGCCATGGTCGTGTGAAATTCCTGTAACCGAAATGATGCAAGACTATTCTCCTCTGTTGAAATCGTTAGACCAGTCATGTCAGAATTTGCCAAGCTCAAGAACCCAAAGAAATCTTTTGGATCCCATTTTTTCATGTTGAAGTCTGCTGCTCTCGTGGACGATGCGTTGGGTTTCTGGTCGGTACCTGCCCCTGCTTCTGTACCAGTGCGACGGCGCTTATTGCTGTCATTGGAAGCGACCTCAACACGTCTTCGGCTTGTGGTTGTGGACTTGGACATGCCATGGGTCGCGCCCGTCATGTCAAAGAGTTCGTATGGCCTGAGCAACTCTTGTATCGTGATGGTACCACCATGAGGCTGTTGGTCCTCTTCAGAAGATTGCGCCTCAGAAGGTTCTTCTTGACGTGCATCGTCCACACTGATCCCGCAGCACTTTAGGAGCCAACGAAACATCGGCAATGTGTTGATCTGAAAATAAGTGGCCCGTCTTCTTTTCCCATGGTCAGCTTTTTTTGCCTATATTTCGTGGAAACTGGACCGTGTTGGCATATTTAGAGAAATCGAAAACGCCAAACCAGACTAGATGTTGTCAAACGCGCGCTAATTTGTGATCCCTCGGTGTTATTTTCACACGGGGAATCTCGAAAAAAGGGAACTTTTAAGGGAACTTTAAGGGAACTATTTAGGGAACTTTTAGGGAACTTTTTAGTGAACCGAGAAAAGGGAGATTTATTCAGACTCCCTATTGTTCGTACCAGTACTGTATCTTTCGGAACCAAATCTTTCTATTCGCAGCAGATGTCAAGCAATCAAACTGCATCTTATCATAGAAATTCACGAAACAATGGGTCAAACAGCAGGCGACCCCCAACAAGCCGTTCAAAAGAGATTTGAGGATTTGGAAGACTGTGTAGGAATCTGAAATGTGGAGATTACAAATTTGATAGCGAAGAATGCAGAGTTGGAAGCAACGAACATCGAGGCCGATAAGAAAATCTCTGAACTCCAAAAGCTGGTACAATCAGAATGAGTAATCGATGACTCGATTTCGATGAATCTCAACGCATACACGTTCCTCTATACCTCGGCGATGTGCAGCGGACCGTTCATTGCAGGCGTGACAACCTGCTTGCTACAGTTCACAGTTTTCTCATTGTTCTTGTTGGATCTCTTGAACACGACATCGATTCCGCCGGGAGTGGCCACACTTGTACGAGTGTGTCAGGTAATTGCGATCGTCATTTCCTTCCAGGTGGAGACTGACATGCTTCGCGCTCTGCGGGCTATCTTCTACCGCGAAGGATTTGATGAAATGACCGACAACTTTGGTGGGTTTTCTCCCTGGAGGTTTTATTTTGCAAATTCTCTTATGGCCATCCAGGGTCTGTTCGGCAAAGTGGTAGCCTTCCTGCTGATTATCTTTGCGGACAATGTGTTCGATTTGCCACTGAATTTCACAGCAGTCATGTTCGTATCAGAGCTGGATGAAATTATTTTCTTTCTATCGAGGGCTGGCTACGTCGGCAGAGACTCTGAAAGAATGGCCAAGAAGATTCAAAATATGAAACTCCCACAACGAACACTAAATGGAATCTTGCAGCATGTGCATATCCTTGTCTATGGTTTGATAATGGTCGCTACATTCATCGCTTTCGCCATTCTTGCTCGAAAGCAAGACAGTCAGGAAAGTCTTGCTGAGTTCGTCAAGGTCGAGTTCGGAGATGAAGTCGATCCAACCCTTGGCCTGTTCTCAGGCTGCTACGAGAAACAATTGAATGACGGTTGGGATGCAAGAGTTCGATACGTGCAGACTCAGTCAGCTCGAGGCAAAGGCAATTTTGAATATTGTCTTGAGGATGATCTTCGGACATGGGTCTTCGCGAACGCTCAGTCTGAGACAGTGTGCAATGATAATTTCGCGATCCGATCAGCCGAGGAACGATCTACTAGCTTTGACTTGTTGGATGCAAAGGGCGATCAGTGGTTGATTGGAACAGGAAACCCAATATCGGAGTTTCAGTTGGGAGAAATCGACCCAAGTCGTTTCGAGATTGAATGCGGCATTATATCAATCGAAGGCACATCAAGTTCAACAGAGGAGTTGTGTCCGGTCGTGAACGTTGATGGATTTACAATTGGATTTTTTGGTAGCAATGATTGGTCTAGAACATATGATATGTTAGAGAACAGGAATTCTGAAGTCGTCCAATTCTACCAACATCCAGTATTCATTGGAGATTCTCTGGGTGCGGAAGGGTACGAAATACTATTCTTCGCTGGGCGAAGGTGGGTCCTTGCAAGCGCCGCAAAGCTGTTAAAAGAAGTTGACGACCCTGTCATTTCGTTGTTTGAATCCTCTATGTTTTGGCTTTTGGATCTTCCAGCAGACGCGCTGTCCTATCTAAGTGAGACTGTGAACGCAGGCAACGATCGAGGTACACCACTAGGTCTCCAGTGGTACACTGCACGATATGCAAACGGAATTTCGTTCCCTTTTCCTGATATCAGCCGTCCAGTCGACTCATCCTTCTGGTGTGGCAAATGCAACAGTAGGACCAATACATGTCTACATGAAGGAATCTGCCAAGATGACGGTACGTGCCATTGCAGACATGGAGCAGTGGGTAAATTGTGCGAAATCAAGCCTCTTGATGATGGAGTGTGTAACCCATTTTTCAATGCAGCACCGGATGATTATGATGGCGGAGACTGTTGGTAATTTTTTGGATTAGGTTATGTTTTCGTGATAGGACATAATACTCAACGGCATTTTGCCATCATTTTGGCAGCGGGGCCACATGCTCGAAATCAAATTGTGGAGTCGGAGCGATGGACGTTGCCTTTGGTCAAAGTCTGCTACGGAATGGTACTGGGTGAAGTGACGATCAACAGGAACCTTTTATCAGGTACGATTCCCTCAGAGATAGGAAATTTGAGTAGTTTGGGACTGGCAGACTTGTCTGCGAATGCTTTATGGGGGGAAATCCCCTCGGAGGTTGGAAAGTTGAGTGCTTTGAGTGAACTATTCCTCGAGAACAATCGCTTCTCTGGAACAGTGTCCACGGAGGTCGGAAGGTTGAGTTCTTTGAAATATTTATGGCTGTTCAACAATACCTTTTCCGGAACTCTTCCCTCGGAGGTTGGAAATTTGAGTGCTTTGTTAGGACTTTGGTTGTTCGACAATCGTCTCTCGGGGGGAAATTCCATTTGAGATTGGTAATTTAATTGTTTTGACAATGCTTTAAATGAATGCCAATTATTTGTCTGGAACTCTTCCGTCAGAGGTTGGAAAAGCTGGCTTCATTGTCAGCACCATCCGTTGATAGGAGCGTTTTATCGGGAAGTCTCCCAAGTGAGATTGGTTTGCTCGACGACCTACTGTACCTGAGCCTACGAGACAACAGTCTAAGTGAAACTCTACCTACTGAAATTGGTCTCTTGACCAATCTGCAGTACCTTATTTTCTGGATGGCAACGCTTTAAGTGGGCCGATTCCAACTGAACTTCTGCAGTTGAGAAATTTGACACAGCTGGAACTGTCAGGAAACCTATTCAGCGATGACGAGGTGGGCGAAGTCATGGTTGCTCTTGGTTTGAACTTTTCGTGCAATGAAGCCTCTGTGAAAATGGTTCTGACCACAGACTTGTATCCTGAAGAGACATCGTGGCAGATTGCCGCGGTTTGATGGCACTGTCGTTGCGTCGGGTGGTGGCTACATTCTGAACACTATCATGCATGACGAAAAGGTGTGCATCCCCTTTGGATGCCTGCAACTTTACCCTTTTCGACGAATACGAAGATGGTGTGGCTCAACTATACAAATCACACGTTTGGAGAAAGTGTACCAGATCGGCGGGGCATTCAAAGACAAGCTGGACATTGACATTTGTGCATAGTGCTTTTTTAGACTTGTAAAAGCTAATATTAATATCCGTTTGATCCCTGCACAACTGATTGACTCTTCTTCCATTCTTTCCTACAGTACAGTTATTTTATAGCTTGTCGGTCAATTCTGGCACTGCCTCAAACAAATCTTGGTTTAGACCATAATCCGCCACTTGGAAGATGGGTGCCTCTGCATCCGTATTAATGGCAACAATGCACTTGCTATCCTTCATACCACTAAGATGTTGAATGGCCCCCGAGATCCCAGCTGCAATGTACAAGTCGGGAGCGACCACCTTGCCAGTTTGTCCAACTTGCCTAAAGTGATATATATATTGAATCGAACGAATGGAAAGAACGACATCTTTTGTGTGAGTACATGGATCATCAAAACAACACCACTGCCACTGGTGCATTATCAACGTTATCATCGTCTAAAGCACACAAGCACACACAGCCACACACAACCACACAAAAACATACATGCACTCATGCATATGCATTATGTTCACTCACCAATCATTAGGACAGAATCCTGCATCGACGGCCGCCCTGGATGCCCCCACGGCGGCATTGAGCTTGTCGGCCAACTTTTCCAAAATAATAAAGTTGTCGCCGCTCTGTTGTTACAATTATTATTTATCATAGAGAGAGTAGTTTGAAATGATGGGTGAGTAATTAGTAAACAAGAGTAATACCGTCAATACATATATTCCCATGTCCAAAAACAACAATTTATTCGTACCTTGATTCCCCGTCCTCCACTGACCACGGTCGACGCCGATTGCAAGTCGGGTCGATCCGATTTGCTGACCGATTCGGACACCCATTCCGCTTTTGTGAATGGTTCCACTTCGACACTCACAACCTCACCGACCGCCGTCAAGGGTGCCTTGTCAAAGGAAGTGGGTCGCACGGACAAGACTTTGCGTTTGGTAGGATCCTTAATGGCCACCTTGCACAAGACATTTCCAGCGTACATGGGACGAACAAAGGTGTCTGATGATGCATACGTTGATTTTTCGAAGTTGATACGAACAAAGAAATATGTGTGAGGTATAAAGTCCTGCGTAGAAATCAAATCCTCTTGCCCAACAAGTTCACACGATAGGATAGTAGTGGTAGGTGACTCACTTTCATCTTGAATTTCAAGAATGTCCGTAATGGGACTGACATCTAGCAAAGCAGCAGCTCTCGGAATGACAGTGGATCCAAACTTGGTGGATGCTCCCAATACTACACTGCAGTCATTGGCCGTCGCCACACTCTCAATGGCCAACGCCACACTCTCGGCCAACCTGTCTCCTAATGCCACATGATAGACCTTGGTGACGCCCTCTGGAATTTCGGTAGGAGCGTCGTTGCCAACCACCAGCAATTCAATGTCTTGTCCAAAGGACCGAGCGGCAGTGACGGTACTTTGGGTTTGCGCGGGAGTGATGCTCTCGTTCAAGGGCTCGGACAGGACCAATGTGGAAGCCCAGCATCGGCTAGTTGTGGCGGATCGAAGCAAAGTCTGATTGGTGGCAAAGGAGCGAGAAATACGGGATAACATTCTGTTTGTTTGTTTGTGTGTGTTGATTGATTGATTGATTGATTGATTGATTGATTGATTGGTTGGTTGCTTCTGTATGTATGTGTATTGTCTATACGAGGATTGTTGCTTTTGAATGGGTATAGAGAGCAGATGAGCTTGACGGGATACCGGTGTATGTGTCAAATTCCTAAAGATTTGCGTTCTTCGCTCCTTGTATATTCGTCGTGATGTCTTGCGTTGAAAAAAAAGGAGAAAGCACGAAGTATTTGCGTTCTCACTATTTTCTGTGCGCGTCATGGGTTCGCTTGACACTGGTACTTTCCTGTCAAGTAGAAATGTACGATGTTGGATGGGGGGAAGGACGGTGACACGAAACTTCGCCATTTACATTTTGGGAAAATTCATACGAAAAAGCATTCCATCAGCTTCCTTCGGAAGATTTTCAGAAATGGGGTGTCAAAAAAACACACTCGTCACACAATTTCTTTCGACAAGGTTACATTACAAAGCAAGCACAAGCTATCATTATCAACAGTATCCATTGTTTGTTTGATTGATCCAATACTACCGATACCACACATACAAAGAGCAACAAACGATCACTACCGTTTCATCAAGACACGATCACATCACACATCACATCACACGACCATATATATTTTTTCTCAATATAAGAATTCATCATCATGTCCGGAATCTTTTTGGTAGCAGCCAAACGTACCCCCTTTGGAGCCTTTGGAGGATCCTTGAAACATCTCAGTGCTACCGATCTCGGTGTCCATTCCACTCAAGCAGCCCTGCAGTCGGCCAATCTAGATCCTAGCAAGGTGGATTCCGTATTTTTTGGCAATGTCATTCAATCGTCCCCCGACGCTGCTTACTTGTCGAGACATGTTGGATTGAGGAGCGGAGTCGACCAAACAACACCCTGTCTTACCATTAATCGATTGTGCGGGTCCGGCTTTGAAACGGTCATTTTGGGAGCCCAATCCATTGCGCTTGGCGAATCCAAGATTACCGTCTGCGGTGGAACGGAAAACATGTCGGATGCCCCATTGGTGGCGGCGGGCAACGATGCCCGATGGGGGGTCAAATTGTCCAAAGGTCTGAGCTTGAGAGATTCCCTCTGGGATGGTTTGACCGATTCGTATGCCGGTACCCCCATGGGAATTACCGCTGAGAATTTGGCCAAGAAGTATGGCATTTCCAAACAGGTGCGTATGGAGGGCATGCATGCAAATGATGTTGTCAAAATGCAAACTTACTTTTTTTCTTTTTCTCATCTTTTTATGTATTGTAGGAATGTGACGAATTTTCCCTGCAATCGCAACAACGTTGGGCAGCGGCCCAAGAGGCTGGTGTGTTTGATGCCGAAATGGCTCCCATTGAAGTCAAGACAAGAAAGGGCATGAACACGGTAGCCATGGACGAACATCCCCGCCCCAGTACTACCTTGGAACAACTCCAAAAGTTGCGACCCACCTTTGACAAGGAGGGAGTCGTGACGGCCGGTTCTGCCAGTGGAATTTGCGATGGGGCCGGAACGGTCGTCTTGTCGTCGGAAGCTTCGTTGGGAGATATGCAACCACTGTGTCGCTTGGTCAGTTATGCCGTCGTGGGATGCGATCCATCCATTATGGGAATTGGGCCCGTTCCGGCCATTCAACAAGCCTTGGCCAAGGCTGGCAAGACCATCCAAGATGTGGATCGCTTTGAAATCAACGAGGCCTTTGCGGCTCAATTCTTGGCCTGTGCCAAGGAATTGGACCTCGACATGGCCAAGACCAACACTCATGGAGGTGCCATTAGCATTGGGCATCCCTTGGGAGCAAGTGGATCCCGTATCACGGCTCATTTGGCCAATGAATTTGCCCAAGATCCGTCGGTCAATCTCAGTGTCGGGGCAGCTTGTATAGGGGGAGGACAAGGAATTGCACTTGTATTGGAACGAGTATAATAATATTGTTTCCAATAACTAATACATTTTTATTGATGAATATGAATATGAATACTTATACTGTATACTCAAATATAATATAATACATACTATCATGGTGATACTTGTTGACATATTTGCTTGTCAGGAAGGTTCGCTACTGCGCCTCACTTGCTGGTCCTTCTTCTTCTTCTTTTTTTTCTTGCATGGCATCAAACCATCGACCCAAGGCAATCGCATCCATAGTCACTGCAAAGTAACAGGGACCTGTAATGCTCGATAGACCCAGATTGGTATAGTCGGAGACGCCCAATAGCCACGTCAACAAACCATTACTACTGTTATCCGACCACCAAGAAGAACCTGGAACAAGTCCAGCCAATGGATAGTAGTCTCGGGCAGAATCGAGATAGACCCAAACACCGTGTCCCACAAAGGGAAGCTCCGACAAGGGTCCCCCAATAGATGTAACGGAAGCGGCCAACAATGCCGATAGGCTCCCATCCAAGATGGCCCATTGACCCAGAGCCGCCGATAACAGGACCAGCAAGTTGAATAATGGACCACCACCACCACCACCACCATTATCTACGATGGAATTATTCGTAGTTTCCAAGTATTCTGACAATTTGATAATCAATGCAGTGGTGCCGACTGCAAGAATCGCGCGTCGTTTCAGTGGTTCTTCGTCTTGTTGTTGTTGTTGTTGTGGTTGTGATTCCCATGGTAATTCCTCTTGCTGTAGTATGGTCGTGACTTCTTCCTGCTGTTGTTGTGGTCCCATCATCATCACCATACCACTCTTCCACAACAAGGCTTCGAACAATCGAGGTAAAATTCCTCCCAATACCACATAGGCGACACCCAACAATGGTGGTACCGTCCAGCTGGAAGTGAACCAATAATCGTAATATCCATTTTCTATTATTGGCATTGCCATTGGCATTGCCATTGGTGGAAGCACGATGGAAATGGGCAAGACGTCATACTTCAAAAGACATTGATTGTGAAGGGAATCAACTAATGGACCCACTGTGGCTCCAGTAACGAATAATTTGACACATGTTTGAGGCGATAATGGTCTCATTGGAATGTTTTTCTTTTATTGAGGATGGTAAATGCGTTGTCAAGTTGTCATTGCCTTCTTCATTCATTTGTCGTTGCATTGTATGTGTGACACTTTTTTGGAAGACGACGTGACGTGTTCAGGGACTAATATAGTTCTAAAAGCACTGTCTTATTTAATGGCCGGGTCAATAACTCCGAACAGTTGACAAATTCGCACGATCGACCTGAAATATTTTACCTATTATTGCGCGGGCAAAAATTATTGTACAACGATTTGTCATAAAATAGATTTCAGATTGGCAACCACAAACCGCAACAACCGCAACTCTAAATATAGAGATATAAGAGAGAGAGAGAAAGAGATGATGATGCTGCAGCCTTGTCTCTTGCTTGTAGCACTATCTTGCAGCTTTCTTGATGCAGCTTTTGCCGCCGATGTTTTCAAGTGAGTATATATATAGTGCACGCCACAACAATAAAAACCGTTCCTGTTGGACAAACAACAATTGACACTATACGATCGATTCATTCCTCCTTATTCTTCTGACACGCCTAATTCCACATCCACAACTACTTACTATATGTAAAGTGATCCTGAAATATCAGATCAAGCTTGGATATTTGAAATGATCAATATCAATCCTGTATGGGAGCAAGGCATTTTTGGAAGTGGAATTCGGATACGAATCAATGATCAAGGTGAGTTGAGATCTTTTTTATTGTTTTTTTTGTGAAAGCAAGTGTCGTGTGGCCATTGTGGCAGTGATGGAATCAATCTAATGCTTTTTACTAACAAAAATGGACTGATCCGCGAAAATCGATTTTGAACTTTCTTTTTTATGATAGGCATTGATACAAGTCACAACGAATTCAATGGTCGTTTCGACAAGGATGCTTCCTGTGATTTATACGAAGCACCCTATGATCGACAAGACCAAGAGTATTATCAACATGGAACCATGATCGCCTCCATTTTGGGCGGTGCTGGAAACAATGGCAATTGCTCGGTTGGAATTGCTCCCAATGTCACCTTGAGCTCCTGTGTGGCCACCACGACTCCAACCGTGGATGATTCGGCCAATGACGGAACCTGGCTTGCCTACAAAGTAGATCAAATGGACATTTCCCAAAACTCGTACGGGAGTATTCCTTGCATTGCGGCAGGAACATTTTCAATCAAAGACGAGTTTGCAACTGTCGATACATGTCCATTTCGTGACAGACCTCGGGAATATATATACCTGGGAGAGGAGCTATCCTTTGATCATCCCTGTGACATGTGCACCTTTCCTTCCAACTCTATTTCCAACAATTGTGCTCGCGCCATTCACTTTCATTGTGCTCTATATTTCGAATTGGACAAGGACACCTGTATCAAGCATCTAGATGGTCTTACAAGAGGCGGGGAGTGTACATTTTTTAGTGAAGAAGAGCGAGTGGTGGATTCTTTGGAAAAGGGTGCCAAAGAAGGACGAAACGGAAAAGGAATAGTCTATGTCTTTTCGTCGGGAAATCACATTGCCTTTGGTTCCGATACAAACTTTGCGGGGAGGTGGCAATCACGATTTATCATTTACGTTGGATCGGTGGGAAAAGATGGCTTGCACACTCAGTATTCGACTCCTGGCGCTTCTTTGTTTGTGGTCGCCCCCGTTGGGGATCGCGACGATCCCTTGACCATGGTCACTGCCCGTGCTGGTGGAGGCTGTCAAAGGACAGGATCTGGAACCAGCTATGCGAGTCCGATCGTATCCGGAGTGATTGCGTTGATGCTAGAAGTCAATTCGGACTTGTCGTGGCGGGATGTCCAAGGCATTTTGGCAGTTACATCAAAGGCCGTCACCCACACGATATACGAGGACAAGACTCAAGTGGTCAATGATGTTGGCTTGGTACATTCCAATTTATATGGGTTTGGGATTGTAGACGCTCTAGCGGCAGTAACTGCTGCCAAAGAGTGGGAGCCATATGGGACGGAAGTTGTCATTGCCAAAGAATCGCCCACTCTCAACTTGGCGATTGGTGATGACCAGAATGATCCAGCAATCGCTCAGCTTAGTATTGAGCCAGGCGAGCATGACATCTTTGTGGAAAATGTAGAAGTCTTGGTGTATCTAGAGCACCTCTCACGAGGTCATTTAAAGATCAGTCTTACATCTCCAAAGGGTACCGTCTCTGAGCTTACACCAGGATCTCGTCCTGAAAACGGACAAGGAGCACCCGACAAACCATGGATACTTCGAACGATCCGATCATGGGGCGAAGCGGCCGAAGGAACCTGGTCTTTATCGATTGCGGATTTGGTGGCAGGAGATGTCAGTTCCTGCGTCGATATGGGTGACTGGCAAGTCCAAGATTCGGACTATATATACGATTGTGCATTGGTCGAAGTGTTTCCAGATCTTTATGATCTCGAGGAAAGGGACTGGTTGAGAAATCTCTTTGTGGACGACGACGTTGTGGGTGGATGCTGCATCTGTGGAGGTGGTACTACTAGTAGTGCTTCGGGTGGATCTGGCTGCGTCGATCAAGTCGCTTCGAATGCGACATGTGCCGATGCACAGAGTGACAGGGTGTGTCGGAATGGAAGGTTGTCCAGCAGTTACTCTCTGTATGACCTCAAAGATAACCAAGGTCGAAGAGTATGGGATGCATGCTGTATCGCTGGAGGCGGAACCAAGATGCAAAATCCAGACACCTTTCGAGATAAACTGGTACGGTGGGAGATTCGTGTCTATGGACATTCCGAACATGAACCTTCAGCCTCTCCATCAGCAGCACTGCCGACATTGTCCCCGGATTCATCTACCCCAAACAACACCTCGTTGGATGGCAGACCTGCTGCTGCTGCCGCCGCCGCAGGAACATCACCATGTATGAGTTGGGTACTACATGTTGCCATCGTTTGCGTGGTTGTCTTTTGGCAACCAACCAGATGAGTTTCGAATATATGTACTGCAGACTACAATACCGGTAGCGTCTCATACAGTACTCTGCCGTATGGGTTTGGCAGAAACCAAGATTATTGGAGAAACATCTTTGTCTTTGGTATCCGCGAGCAGCAATACAGAGAAAAAAGACGCTTCGTGTGTTTCGATGGATTTTTTTGATTGACTGACTCATCATTACATACCTGTATACGGTAGAGAATTCTCAATTAAGAGGAGTCCCAACAGCAAATCTACAAAAGCCCAGTCGAACCCTATTTTTCTGGCCCCTGCTTGTAGCGGCAATAAAAACTAAATAGTGATCTCACGCCTAAAAGACGAAATTTTAAGTAACAACATTTGAGCAGAGTGGGCTTGTCTGCCAATCGAGCAGATGCAAGAGAGGATTCTGCTTTAAAGAAACACCTTTCTGATCGAACTTCTGCATTTGAGGCGCTCCCATTTGTTTATTAGATTGTCGAACGATTCCAGTTCAGCTGCTGCTTCTGAAGGAATGCCACCATGCATGATTTGGGTTCGTTTGCGTGGTTTTGTCTTGCCAGCCAGATTAGTTTCGAATTGCGTCGTCAGAAACGAGTATTCAATGATCGAAACAGTGTGTCTTTGGCATCAGAAAACGTGGATCAATTGGCTGAACTCTAGCTAGTTCTCCCAACATTTTGTATTATATAATATAATAAAAGCGAAAGAACAACGAAACAAACCCTATTTTTCTGGGACTCGAAGCGCCGATAGAAGATAAATAGTGGTCTTACACGATGCGTGTATCATAAATAATAACAGCTTAAGAGGAGGGGACTCGACTTAAATACCGATTGTTGAAACACCTTTTCGCCATTTTCGCACTACCTCCGCACCTACAGGTTTTGTACCGTATTCGATTGTCGAACAGTCCCCTCCTAACACTTATGTTTCGCAAAACATTAAATTCGACAACGGTCGATTTTACTACTGTGGTCATTGGCAATTAGAATAGATCAAAGTAATTAGGCTCGCGTCAATATTATGCCGACTAATATATACAAAAACAGTCATTTCCAATATGAGAAACGACGGGACCACGCACTTCGCAAATCAATGGTTGAAGTTCGTCTTGCGGGAGAGCTCAAAAAACCGGCACTTTCCTTTCCGACAAAAGCACACAATCGACGATTACTCCAAAGAAAGAGCAAAAGGCTAGCTAGCTCCAGTACAAACATCATGCCTGCTGAGGATCACGTCACATCAGTCATCGCCACCTTTAGTGGTTACTCTGTCATTCTAGTTGGAATTGGAGTATGGGCGTACAAACGTGAAAAAGCACTCAAGGCAGCCCACCAAGATGAAATGACTGCGCATTACCTTGGTGGAAGATCCTTTGGTCCCATCATGACGGCAGCAACAGTGTTTGCGTCTCTCTTCAACGGATTTTCGATTATTGGTGCTCCCAGTGAATCATTCTACCGTGGCTTTTTCAGTCTCACTTGGATTGTTTCGGTGGTGGGGATCATTTCGGGATACTTTGCCACTGGTCTACGATTGCGCCGTGCCAGTGAAGTTCGCAATCATCAGAGTTCCGTCGACTTTATCACTGATCGTTTCCAATCGCAATATTGCCGGGCGTCCATTATGCTTCTGCAAGTAGTTCCCACAGGGATTTTCTTGGCAGGTCAGATTGTGGCAATCAAGCTTGCCTTCAACCCTGTATTTGGATTGGAACCAGACAACCAGTGGCCATCTATAATTATCGTAGGGGTCATCCTTCTCTTCGAGTGGGCTGGAGGTCTCAATAGTGTCGCCATGACGGATACCATTCAGGGATTTGTCATCTTCGTCTCCTACCTTTGTGTTCCCATTGCAATCTACATGAATTACGGAGGCTATGAAGATATCGACTTGAGCACGTTTCCTCGACCTGACTTTTTCCAAACACCGAGTAAATTCGACCAATGGCAATTCTGGCAGTTTACGATTATCAATATTGCTTTCTTCGGCTTGCCTCCCCTCATCCAAAGAACATATGCGGCTAGGGACATTGGATCGTTGAAGTTGGCTTATGGCGTTTTGGTGTGTGGAGTATGGATGGCCATCATGGTCGGAATTTTTGTGGGAATCATGGCCGTGAAGGTCTTTGGACCCGGCTTTTACCCACCCAGTCCTTTCAATTCTATGATGGAAAATCTCATGGTACGTATGGGACGTGGTTGTTGTTAGTCTGGGCGTCGTCGCCTCTCACCCGCTTTTGTTTGCTTTGCGCTCCGCCTTCAAATACTGCAGGATCTTGGTGGTTTCCCTAAAGTGACCGCAGTAGTCGTTGTGACAGCTTTCTTGGCTGCTGTCATGAGTACTATTGACTCGCTCATCATTGCTGCTTCTCAGTTGGCCATGAACGAGATGGTTATGCCGTGGGTTCGCAACAACGAAAGGCTCTCCAGTGACCGTAGTGTGACCTGGTTTGGAAGAGCTTGTTCCTTTGTCATCACAGCTGCTTCCTTAGCTTTTGGTTTGCATTGGGAGGGAACTACCTTTTCCATCATTGAGCTGCAGCTCTCCATGACCCTTCAAACCGTTCCTGCTTGGTTCATTGGACTGTACTCCAAACATGAGTTTCATCCGTGGCCCATTGCTACTGGAGCTTGGGTTGGAGGACTTTGGGTGGTTCTTTTCTATGAGTACTACATGAGAGACAATCCAGATCGACTACCTATCAACAATGGTGTTTCCGGCTTGGGAATCAACTTGGCCATTGTTCTCATTGGAGAATCGACCAGAGTTTTGTTGTATCCCAACAAGACTGGTGACCGCGCCTTGGAACCGGAAGAATCATCCAATACTAATACAAATTCGTTGACAACTGACCCAACGACTGACGGATCCGAAAGCGATGAGGGCAAGAAGGAACCAAGATTACTGTTTCCAAACCGACCATCCTGGGATGTTCCTTCGTTGGCACACTTTGGCGACAAGCCCATGTCGTGGAGAGTTCTGAAGAAATACATGTCTGGAACACATGAGGTCGCTACAAATCCATACTGGGTAACTTTCATGTTAATTTCAATGTCACTGGCGACCCCGTTGGTACCACAGAAAGAGCCACCAATCCTTGAGGATGGAACATTTGCGTATGAGCCAACAAGAGTATTTGGTATTCCATGGTTTGCATGGAAGTCGATCTTGTTCTCTGTGATTCCATCTTTTTTCTTGTTGATTGAAATCGTCCGCATGCCCACCAAATTTGGACCCGAGAAGGAAGATTGGGAGATTTTTGATGACGTGCCGCAACCTAGCTTTGCTGAAAAAGAGCGTTTGATCGGCGGAGACAACAGCATCAAATTCAATGCTCAATCAACGAAGGAGATTGACGATAGCAGCGGTGACTCTCGTAACGGTGCTGATGGCAAATCGTTGCCGATGGAACAGGCAATCGAAAACAAGGCCGATTAAAAGGAAGGGTAGCCCTTTCGTAAGTTCATAGAGGATGTATCTTATTATTATTACTTTAGTTGTAACTACCGTTGCGGTGGCAGTGTGTCTTCGCGCCTCCACACTTTGACTTGATACAGCCAGCTGCTGCGAGCTCTCATTTTCACAGCAATCTCTCGTCGAAGGCCCAATCATGATTCTCGGCACAATGTATCGGATAAACTATGAAAGTGTCTATTCTTTTTGAGAAATAACCTGAAATTTGGACTTTCAGGGATTTCATTGGCCAAAAAGAACGGAATAAACTATAATGATATTTCCCCGGAAATGAATCGCCGACAACTGACCATGGCAAAAGTCATTCGAAGTAATACTGATGTTTCCAAACCAAACTGTGCAGTATCCAACCGAAGTTTAATATACAAGACATGTACAATACCGGTACGGCTGAGACACTCCGTGGAGGGCGAAGGAACAAGTCACTTCTATCGACGTTTAAAAAAACGAATTCTACAGGGAAGCTGATGGATGATGTCGATGCTCCTGTCGAGGAGCTGGATGCCAGTGATAGTGCTGGCAGTGATGCTGACTTGATCTTCTTCCAACAAGCTCACGAGGAAGCCCAACCAGCTCGCAACGCACGACGAAGGGGGTCACTCCTTTCGTCATTGAAAAAAGCGAGCTCCACAGGGAATCTGATGGATGATCTTGGCGAAAGGGAAGGAAATGATGATTTTGATGACTTGAACTTTATTCAAAGTGCCCACGGTGAATCGGAGTACAATGTCGCCGAGACCCCCCGTGGTAGGGGGAGACGAAGGGTCAGATCACTTCTTCAGACTATCAGACGGTCTACTTCGAAAAAAAGGTTGGAGGACGATGATTTCGAGAATGATGATGTTGATGACTTGCGTCAAATCCAAAACCTTGAAGATATCGAGCGTTCAATTCCTTCTAACACACCACGTAGCGAGGGAAAGAAGAAACGGTTAAGAGCCCGTCTGAAGGCTAGAGAGAGCAATGACGTCAGTGACCTCGTTGCTGAATCGAATCATGCCATCAAAAGTGGAAAAGATCCTAGACGAGTTTCCAAATCACCTGCTCGGCTTTCGAAAGAACATGCTTTATCTGATCCAGAGAGACGTCAAAGGAAAAGGAGTTCCAAATCCCCCGCTAGACTTTCGAAAGAATATACTTTAGGTGATCCAGAGAGGCGTGAAAGGAATATGAACAAAGAGAAGAGCAAAAGTGGAATGGACAAACGACTTTCGACCGATTCCCAGAACGACCATTATGGAATACCTTTGTCATTCGAGCAAAGGGTGCAACAGAAAGTCCGACAAGAGTCTTTGACCACTCCTCGACCGAAAAAGAGAAATATCAAGTCAAAGCTACAGGTTTCAGGACTCGATCTAGCATCTCCCGTCGAAAAGAAACGCACCAAACGGCCCGGACGTTCCAAGTCAGCTAACGACAGCTTGATCCATGACGTTTCTACCATTTCCACCAAAGACATGAGCACCGACGCTTCCCCTGGGCTTAGTGAACGAAACCAAGACTGTGGGTACGACTCCGAGGGGCGCATCGGGCGAAAGAAGCGAGTTCCGCGTCCCAGAAAGGGAAGACCGGTAAAGGAAGTTCTCATCGGCTCAGAGTCGCCGGCTGCACTTTCTCCGCACCAGAAATTACGGCAGTCAATTATGAATGATCTAGATGGCTTAGAAGATCGCTCATCTATTGCAACCATGTATTTGCATCGACAAGTTGAAGCGCTCAAGAAGAAGGTGGAGAAATTAACCAAGACAAATGAGAAAATCCAAGTCCAGCTCAACGAGGAAATAGATCTGAATGGCCAGATGGCGATGAAACTGCGAGAGCATGAGCTTGGATTAGCAGCTCTCGAGAGCGTGAACGACACCAAAGTTAAAGTTGAAATACTTAAGAAAGATCACGAGGACGAGAAGCACGAAATGGACCTTCTCTTGAAAGAAAAAGACATATTCATCGAGAGACTGCAGCAGAAGATCAACAGCATTCGAGTAGCCAATAGTACCATGCAAATGCAAAGGGATTCACCAAAAACGTCTCACACTGATACTTCTGGTCACGATGTTAAAGGCCTACAAAAAAAAGTAAAAGCTCAAGATGAAGAGATCGAAGACCTGACCATGAAATTATTTGCTGTTCAGGAACAGCGAGGGCAAGACAAGAGGTACATCAACAATCTCCAAGGGGAGCTTCAACAAACCAAGGACGAAAAGAAGAAACTGGATGTTGAGTTACAAACGGCTAAGAAAGAGCATGCAAAGGCTATGAAACGAAAAGACGAGACTGTTGATTTCTTGCAAGATTCACTATTAAAGTTGAAGCTGAAAGAAAGTAAGCAAAGGAACAAAGAACGGGAACTTGCTGGTTCACCAGCATTTGGACGAGGAAAGAATAATCGTTCACCTAGGAAGAAATCACCTGTAGCGCAGTTCAGCCTCAGTCCCGGTCGATTATCCTTCCGAAACTTGAAAGTACAGGATGTTGTTCTTGATGATGATGATCCTCGATCACAGTCCACTTCCAATCTTTGCTTTTCTCCGCTTTGATTGTATCATTGTCTAACAACATGGTTGACTATTCGTCCGTCACTAGACAGTCTTATATGCATTTGAAAATTCACGTTATAACTAGCTTAGGATTTGCATAGGCCTGTCGAATAGAGGAGTTTCCGAAGTATTCTTAGACTGATCGAAGCTCTGGATAGTCGGCGACAACATCACCTAGCGACAACGATTCACTTCTATCTTCTGGTGTCCACAAAATCTCAGCACTCTGCAAACAGTTGTCAACCTTTGCATCGGAAGCAATCTTACGTAGCGCTTCCTCCACATCTGAAAGCGAATTGATCTTGGGAATCTTGGTAGAATCTCCGTCAATGTTTAGAATCAGCGTGACTACCGCCATGGTCGCTTTACCGTCAACTCCACTACCACTACTCTTGGAAGATAGACTGTAGTCGACACCTCCAAATTTGCTAACAGATTCCCTCTCGAATTTGCTACGTTCTTGGACCGACTTGGACTGAAAGTCTCTGCTAGCCTTTTGCCCATCTCGGTAATGCTTGTAAGAGGAGCTGGCCGATGAGATGGAAGTACGACGGCGCAGCAGCTCCAAGGCAACCTGACTGGTAAGGTTCTGAATGCCAATTCGACTATCGGTCTTGGAGCTTTGGGCCAATCGGTCCAGCACACCCAGAATGGAATTCTTGTCGTCGCGGTTTGGAACCTCCAGTGCTACACTAAGTTGTACCACCGAGGAACCAGGTCCCAGTACGGATGAGGTGGCCGAGTCAAAGACGTCAGAAAATGTTGAAGTCGCACCGCCGCCAGTTAAGGTATTGCCTGCCTTACTGATAGCGTTTGTTGCTATAAAGAGAAAGGCTCCAAAGAAGGCGATATCAAAGAAATTTGGGCCACGAGAATAGCCTATAACCCCAGGACTTCCATAATATGGCATCACCGGACTGTAGAAAGGATTGTAGCCAAAACCTGGTGTGATAATGGTCGTACTTGGTCGAGAATAATATCCTCCTGTGTAACCTCTTGAATACCCTCGGCTGTAGGAAGACGGAGCGCTTCTGCTCATGCTTGGTCGAGATGGCGAGGAAGAAAAGGAACCCCCCATACGACCTCCACTCATGGCAGCATTCGCGTCGAGTGGCATGAATGACAAGGCCAGAACCATGGCAGCGGTTGCCATTTTCATTTTGGAACCCTTGTCGTCGTTCATGTTCTCGAGGAAGGAGAGGAGAACAGGTTTGGGATTGTAGGGCTCGCGGTGAGCATCTTGTCTGACAATCTCCACTTCTTCTCCTTGATCATTGTTGGCCATCAGAACGACGGGTTTCGCATCAGGCATTGAGAGTGGTCGAAATCCTGAAGAAAGGGACTGCTGTCGTCTTTGTACTTGAGGCATGATGGGAGTAAATGCTTGTACATGCTGACTAGCACCTGCTAGAAGAGCAATGGCTGTCGTCACAGTAGAGGTTTTTGGTGATCTCATTATACTATTCTTTTGATGTTGATGAGAATTTATGAGGCGATGATTCTGTTCATTGTTTTGGAAATTCGATGTCAATAAAGTTGTCACCGTTCCCACGAAGAACTAGTACCAGGTCTACGTATTTCTACACGTGGCAAAATCTCACGACTCAACTGACTCAGTCCCAAAAAGGAGAAGATCATAGTTGATACCCTTCTTCGCTGCTCTTTTGCCATCTTGCTCAAAAAAGGCATGGGCCAGAGTATGTTACAGTAGGTTGAAATGCTGATTCCAAACATGCATACCGGTATGCGTTGTTTTTCGTGTGTAGTATGACGTCATGGCAGAATGAATGACCATAGCTTATGATGCAAGAAGGCAGTCCCAGAGTATTTTTTCTTACAAGCTGCACTCTGGGCATCCGAGCAAGTGACACCATCTCCTTTGATTCACTACATATTTTATTCACTATGTATGGAATATGAATGAATGCACATTGTTCGCTTCAATCAGAGGATTCTGTGAGAGGAATGGAACACAATGATGAGTGAGTCACTTCGAAGAACCAATAATCCACAATGCATGAATCTCATAATCTTTTTCTATACAAATATTGTAAGCCAACAGATCATAACATTCAGCCGAAGTAGGCAGACAAGATTGAAAAAAAAACACATTGTGTTCTTTTGACGACCATGACAAAATACCAATGACGACCATGATGATGATGAGATGACTCCACTGCACTTTTAGACTGCATTGGTCAATACACATGCTGTGACACATATGCCCAATCAAACGCAAAAAGGCAGTAGGGTTTCTCTCTTGTTGGCACGACGATGCACATGTACAACCCAAAAGACACTCATCGTCCCAAACAATGGGATTCAAAACAGTCTGGCGAGAGATATAGGATACATCCAGTCGACTTTGTCGCTCTTGCCGTACGCATTTTTGGGATGTTCCTGACTTGTAATTCTATATAAATCAACAGCTAGCTGTTACCAGCTTATTGAAAATACGAAAAACGGAGCAAGACTTCTTCACCTAATCGTTTCTTTTGGAGCCCCATCTTCAATACGGCGTTTCATCAATCATGATGATCGAGTCAGTCTATCTCTATCGAATTGCTGGCTTACATTTTCAAGGAGCTGAAATCGTATTATCGTACAACAAAGAATGGATAGGCGTAGGTGTCACATTCTGTTCCGAAACAAGAACATGATGATGCTGCTGCTGCTATTCTTGTTGTCGTCCTGAGTTGATATTATAGCGAGAAGACGTGATTTTGGTGAGATCCAAAGTCTGAGCTTCGTCCGTTAGAGCAAGATCCCCCAAAATTCCTTCTCCACATATTGATTTCCGGATGTCAATAAGTGCCACAATATATAAAGCAAGAATTTAGAGTACAGATTGTTACCGTTATGAGGGTTAAGGTCTATGTTCATCGCTACCGTCCACATCCATATTCAATATATTCAGATCGACCCATCAGAACCCCAACGATGCCGAAATGGGATTGATTCGAAGAGCTGTCTTCATCGTCGTCCAAACGTCAAGTGGTACCAGTTTTTCGAGGCAAAGGCACATCGGACCAATATTGCAGGTACCAAGCGACATTGAATAATGACGGCAAGGGCAAGTAGGTTCACAACCTTCTCACCAAGCTTCAGCGCTGTCGAAACAACGGAAGATGAAATTCCAGTAAGTCTATCACCCAAGCTGGTCCTGGGGGGCAAACCAAGAAGACGTCGAACTTGGTTGACACGACGACGATGGTATATCCAGTAAATAAGTCCACCACCAATACAAGAGATGACAATATCACGCCCCAAGACTTGAATAAGTTCATTTGTTGCAGAGGATGACGATGGTGACGACTGCGGTGTTGTTGTTGTTGTTGTCATTGTGGAAGCGGTTCCAGCTTCGTGGGATTCGTTCCTGTTGAGCCAAAGGCACATGATCGGAGCCCTGTACATGAATTGAGTGCGTGTTGCGAGATATGAAAATACCATGATATATTCCTTTTTCGTCTTGTCTCTTTTCTTGCCACGAACAATGATGATATTGCAGGAATATAAATTTTGTGAGGAGCATACAGCACCCCCGTAGCACTGCTAAGGCATCACCATCAAGCAACAAACGTGCCGTGAAAGATGCTTTGAAACGGTTCGTTATAGCAGTCTTTTACGCTTTGGCAAGTAGTTAAAGTGTAGATTCTTTCCGTTTCTCTTTTGCACATCGTGTTGAGAGACTCGGGATCGTGGGAACGAATGACTACGTTACGTTCTCGTTCCGATTCCTTTAGTCGAGCTAATCGAACTTCCACGTGGATTTCATGATATCGAATATGATATGATGATTTTACACATCATGTCGAAATCTTTCTCTCGCATACTGTACGAGTTCGTACAGTAGATCGCCATCACTATCACGATCACAAGACTCATCACAAGAAAGAATTTCCAGCCAGCGCATCACCGAGGCATCAAATATAGAACAATGTCTCTCATTGCCAAAAATATAGTGAAAGCATTGCTTTACTCCTTTTTACTCCTCGCACTCGCACAAATATCTCACGCCGACAAGGAGAGGAGCGATGACAATAATAGTGCCAAGATACCTGCAACTCTACTTTCAACGGCTTTGAATTACGCGGTACAATCTGGATTGGGAGAAGGTGTTGTTCAAAGGGTCTATGATAAAAATATTGATGCGCTCTATCGAGTAGCCAAGTCCATGTATGCCAATCCACGACAAAATCAGGATGAAGACGACAAACTGACCTCGGTTCAAATCTTTCACGCTTTGGCGGATGGAGAAGAACACCACATATTATCAATGATTCAACTCGGATTCGCGTATGCAGAGGAAGATAAGAGCCAAGCCATTCAGTACTTTGTCCAAGCTGGCGAAGATGGCCCACATCAAGCATCCTTATACAACGCTGGCCGATTGTTTGCAGAAGAGGGGGAGTTTGCGGCAGCATTGGGGTACATGCGAGCTGCTGTATCATTACCAGACTCAAATTCCGAGTACAGCAGTGATAAAATGACGGATACAGCGAAAGCAGGTTACAATAGTCTCAATATCCAGCTGCAGCAAGTGGAACTTGGCTTGAATGAGATGGTGGCCATATTTCCCTATGCGGATTTGAAAGGCTTTCCACAAGAAGGTAGCAAAGCTGACAAGCTTTGGAACGAAGCCATGACACTATTCGAATCCTTTGGAAAAAATAAAAAGATCTCGGATTTGGAGGCTTGCGTGAAAAAGTTGTCGGACTTTCAAATGCAACACGACAAGAACATGACAGCGCTGCAAACGAGTTTACTGAGAAGAATACTTACAACTGCGCTAGACATCATGAGTAATGAATTGTAGTAGATGAAGCGGTGCATATTGTTAACCTCTAGTTTGAAATACTCTTGTACGCGACGATTTGCACCTGCCTACAAATAGACGACCTAGGAAGCTGGATCGAAGTCCAACTTATCTCTAATTCGAGCTCAATTTTCGGTTGTGACAAAGGATGTTGTCGGGGTCGACCCTTTTCTTGATTTCCATAAGCCTTTTCGCCACATCGCTTTTGGTAACGTCGACTAGCACGTTGTTTCCTTCTCCCGCATTTTCTTCCCTTGCGTCAGAGAATGCATGTGAGGTCTTGGCCATGGCAGGTCCACACTGTTCGTTTATATCTGCGACAAACTGCTTGGCCCATGCACTGGCTTTGGCTCTTCCGACTTCGTGCCCATCTACTAAAGGATCCCAACGAGCCTCCACAAGAATCCAGGCAGCAGCATGCCGAGTCGAGAGGCTGCACTGTTTGCAATCAGGAGTGTCAAGTTCACTGGCGCGACCACCGATGGCCTGAATGACAAAGACGGACCCAGAGGGAGCTTTCCCAATGGCATCTACCATGCATGCAATTACGTCATCGGACATGTCAATGATTGCAATCATAGTTTGGTAAATGAAACCATGGGTCTGGTTGTCAGCAACAAGCGATTGAACCTTCTTATGGTCCACTACTTTCCACGAGTTTTCTACATTGAAGAGGCCTCCTCCTGCAACTGGAGCCACAGCAGCTTGCAGATCTTTCACAGTCTTGGTAGCTTCAATTCCTTTCGGAGCCTCGGGGCCACAGTGAAGCCACATAAGGGGAACGACTGGAGCCGCCGGTAGAACTGCGGTACATGTAGTGTCATGAGAAGTTGTTTTGAGTTTCTGCCACCATGCCTTGAGGACTGTTTGTTTCATGGTAGCCGTGGGACACAAAGACACAATTGTTCCGAGAAGGAACTGGTCCTGGTTTGGCATTTCATGTGTTTTGAAATAAAACTTGGTTACAACCCCAAAGTGGCCACCGCTACCACGGCAGGCCCAAAGTAGGTCTCGTTCCTTTGCGGGAGAGGAATCGCGGATATTTTCAATGAGCGTTCCGCTTGGAAGCACAATATCAATGCCCACCAGATTGTCTACCGTGAAACCAAATTTTCGAGTTAGCCAACCTCCACCCCCCGAAAGAGTAAGCCCAGAGATGCCCGTGTCACCATTCGTCCCTACCGGTAGCACCCGGCCATTTGTTCTGCACAAATCATCTACCGCGCTGAGTGTGGCACCGGCCTGAACTTGAAGCTCCTTTGTTTCCGCAGTGTAGCTCATGTCTGTCATCTTGGCCATGTCGATCGTCAAAGCACTATCCGTGAAGGCGTTGGCAGAATGACACCCAGCAGCCACACTAATATTGAGATTATGTTTCTTGGCAAGCTCAAAACAAACAGCAACATCTGAAGGGACTGCAACTCTCACAATGATTTGTGGAAACGACAGGACATCTTTGTTCCAAACGCGGTCAGTCCAGTGCGCATAGTTGCTTCCGGCAATATCAAAACTATAAAACCGTTCGCTCTGCTTCATTGGTGGAAGAGATTTGCATTCTTTGACTGTGGCCACTTCAGCTTGATCCGACAAGCGGCTGTATAGATCTTTCTCCAAATCAAATGTTTGAGAATCGAAGTCTTCCTTGGCTTTTTCGAGACGAGCCAATCGAGAAGTGTTCAAGGCTTCAAGATTTTTCCTTTCGGTATCGTTTTTCTGTTTCCGGTAGAGGACAGCTATTCCAAGAAGAGCAGCAACTGGAGTCACCACGTATTTGTCCAACGACATTGGCATGCTGAATCTTAGCCGATGAATTACTGTACTGTAATTGTTAGATAATAAAAGACCCTACGATACTCTGAGACGATCAGTCTTCAGTTGTTCGGCGTAACGCAGTCCTAATACTATGAACCTTAAAGTCGTTAATAAAACTTGCTTTAGTTGGGATAAGAGTTTTCGAATGGCCAAAGCAAACTCATGCTTTCGGTCATCCCAAAACCCTCTACACAGTTTTAAACTACTGTAATTCAATCGTTCGTCTTTCGAACAACATCTGCCCATGACTGGTTCTCCATACTCTCACGGTTGATGTATGACGGTTTAGACTCGTCACTATCTGACTCAGGGGAGTCGTCTGTACGACTTCCAACACGCTCCTTGACTGATTCTTCCTCATCATCCTCTAGTAGAGAATCGATGTGTTTGTATCCTAAAACCACATCGCGAAACTTTCGAAACAAACTACCTTGCAAATATGTCGGTTTGCTTATAGGAAATCTTCTTGTCGTTACCAACACCGTGCCTCGCCAGATGGCGGACGGTCATTTTGGACCACAGTTCGGTATCGACACAAGACGTTATGGTTAATGTAGTGGAGGATGATGATGGTTCTGTCATTTGAAAAGTTTTGTGCGAGATGTTGAAAGGATGGGGTCGAGGCAACCTCGTCCAAACCTGCGATAGCCGCATGACTGAATTGGAATAAAAATGATATTGAACCCATGTCCGAAATTTTCCAAATGACGAGTGTACGATTGCATTCACTTTTTAGAATCACAGGTTTGGCGGTACGTTGTCGCAAGGGTAGTATTCGCTGGGAGGAATGGAGCAGTGTCGCATTACTCTAGCAAATCAAGAAGCGAGTCCTCTTCTACTGGCTGCTCTAGTAGACGAAAACGACAAAGGCACATTGAACGTCGTTCCAATAACTATTGTCTCTGGAGTTCTGCAACGCGAGAAGTTGCTGGAAAGATACACATTAGAATGATTGATGATATTCTAGCAATATACATTTGTAACAGAGATAACATGCTGGTAATCATCCACCATAAAATGAACCGCAATATATAAAAGTTTGTTTTCAAAACCTCCGGTCGAGGAACTAAGCTAGTCTCCAAAAAATCCAGCATTTTCAATAATATACATGCGGTATCGGAAGAGCAAAGCGTTCTATCACTATCGCACTATACCCACCTGTTGCAGAATACCAACACGCAATGGGTAATACAGCAACATCCGAAGCTAATGACGAGGACGACTTTGCCGAGTTTGATGGAATTGAAACCTTGGGATATAGAGTATTGGGTGTGCAGCCAGAGTCTCCAGGTAAGCTGACTATATGTCTGTTGCGTGTGTGGTGGTGTATACCTCCAATGCAATCTACTGCAGATTGCCCTGGGAACAAACCTCGTCATTCGTTCGTTCATTCATTGACCATCGATTATTTCTATTGCAGCGGCAAAGGCTGGTCTTGTCAGTTTCTTTGATTTTATAGTGGGAGCGAATGGGGAAATGTTGCTTGGAAGTGGTCAAGAATTGGAGGAAGGGGAGGAATACGATGATATTGACTGTAAGTCAGTTGTACATAGTCATGTCTCATCGAATCATCGTATCGCAATTGGCTCACCAATGAAGGAACAATCCAATATCTAGTTCCAATGCTCCTGAAAGAGAACAAGGGAAAGCCTGTTGGTCTGTGTAAGTCTTTGGATTCGTCAAGAAGGTGGTAATGGTCGTTTCATGTTCGCTCATCAAAACGTCATACATATATATCTACCCAGTGGTTTGGAATATCAAGTGTCAGGAAAAGCGAGAAGTGGAGTTGATACCAAACGACGATTGGCCGGGTGCTGGTTTACTTGGCGTTACCATCCGACTGGACAACTACGGTGGAGCGGACGAGCGCCTCATCAAGGTTCTATCGGTAGAAGAAAAGTCACCAGCGTCGATAGCAGGACTGGTACCAATGCGAGACTTTTTGCTTGGAACCACGATTGTCTCGTTTGCTTCTACAGATGTATTGGCAAATACGTTGAATGAAAATTATGAGGAGGTAAGCCAAGGATGCTTCAGTATTGTTGTTGGAAGTACCAAACTTGTCTCATCCTGTTTGGATGCAATCACACTTTATTTACAGGTGGTCGAAATCTACGTCTACAATTCCGAATCTGATATTGTTCGAGTGGTAGCGTTAATGCCAACGACAAAATGGAGAAGAGGGGGCGGTATGCTTGGTGCTGAAGTTGGCACTGGATATCTGCATCGTCTTCCACACAGTTGTCGCACCACCGTTGGGCAATCGGTCGAACGAAAGGTCCGGGCAGCAGAGGTCCACCAAAATGATGACAAGCCACAAAAGGTGCCGGTCATGGAATCTCATTTGGAAATGGAGATCGAACAAGGAACCACAGGTCCTGAGAGTATGGCCAAACAACCTCATGAACTTGGCACTGTTGAGACGTCGCCGCAAGCACCCACGGATCAACATGACACCCGAGGAAAATTACCAGCGGGTATTCCACCGCCGCCCAAAGCACAAGGTGCCGATTCTGCTGCACCAACCACCCCGGCGAAACCTTTTCCACCAGCAAATATTGACGAATCGATACGAGGAGGGGAACAAAGAGCGAAATTCGCGGGTTTGCCAACTCCACCCCAAATGAAGTATTAATACGGTACTGCGGTTTTACTAAAATCAATTTTCTAGGTCTTCTCGTTATATAGTACTCCGTCGCTTGGACCGCACACACACACACATTAGGCAGGATAGGAACAAACTGAAAACGAGTTTGCCAATGCCCTAGGCGAAGACAAGCAATGCAAACTGCCACGCTTGCCGCCCTGTGCTCGTGATTTGGAGATTGAATCGACCACATTTCAACCATTCTCCGAAATCGGATGGATTCGAACAGTCCATGGGAGGCAGTAGTTGTAGGCTAGTTGTAAGCCGTGACATGATGGAGGAGCTTTCAAATAGTTAAAAGTGGAGCCTCCTCGCTACTAGACATTTCATCCAATCCGCTCTCACTAGAGGTCACCACGGGACCAAGAGTCGCATTCGGATATTCATGTTGAAAAATACATTTGGCTCGATGAAAGTTAAGGGACCCACCAATGACAAAGAGCGAGGACCCGACAATGAAAAGCCCTGCCAAATAGGTATCAATCCGATCTTGATCCGGCATACTCTTCAGCGACCAAAGATGGGGAATCGATCCAGCTAGGTATGCCATGGATCCAACGCTATACGACACTGCCGTCAAGTTGGAGAATAGTTTAGCCCGGTAAGTAGGCGCATCGAAACTCTGGGCCGAATTGACCACCGCTCCGGCCATAAAGAGAAAGGATCCAATCACTTTGAAGACACCGCCAGATATAGTATGGTGAAATATAAAACAAAAACTACCAATGATGAAACAAAGACTTCCACAGAAATAGGTACCCGCGGAAGCAATGTCCAAGATCTCTCCCGGCGGTAAAATTTTGTCCCAGTCGTCTTGCCGACTATGATAGCAAATAATCTCGTAACAATCGTGCGCGGAAACTATCATATAGCAGGAGGAAGCTGCAACAAAGAAGAATGTGCCCAGCTCACCAACAGTTGCATCTCGAATGGAGGGGATAGAAAAGATGGATCCGATTAACAGGATGACACTTCCAACTTGATGGCAGAAAGAGCTAATGATTTCCCATTTAAACTGTGACAGTGCCTCTTCGGGAGGGAGTAGGATCCTCACTTTGCGACCAAAAATTCGAGGACGATTTACCAGTAGGTGGGGCATGTTGGGTATTTGTGTCGCTTATCTTGTACTGTTTGTGCTGCCGAAAAAAGTTATAGCTGTGGAGACCAGGGTCGCTTGTTGTTGTTGCTGGTTTTGCTTCGTGCAATATTTTAAAATACGGTGGGAATGAATGATAGAAGCAGTCGTGGGATCTTCCCATAATTTTGATTTGTTCTGGGGAGTCGAAAGGGTGCGGTACTATTTCCACACAATATCTATCGAGGATTTCCAATATTTGGGGGATCCATTCATTCCTACGGCAACTTGTGGAATTCTCACCCCACACGATGAGGACGAGATCATTCCGCCCGCACTTCCCCTATGGTTCTTTGCTTGGCCTTCTCTTCTCGAGAACAGCTGCATTCCTCTTTGGTTTCTTCTTTTTCTTCGGCCATGATAGAAATTTGTACATACTGCTGAGCAACAAAGATTTTGCTTCGAAAATATAAATGTGAAAATGCGAAAAAGTATGGCGAGAGTTGTTATGAGAAATGTGATGAGAAATGTGAAATCCCACGACGTCGACAAAACCTACCGGGACCGTCCTCTCAAACTAGCGGCAAGTCAAGAAATGTCACCCGAGTTCATTTTATGCAGGCGAAAACTATTGTCTGACAAACTGTAGAATTTAGTATGACCTTTTATGATTGTACAGGGTGTTGGGTCTGCAAACAGACATAATGTGACGGAAAGGCTATGAATGACCAGATACCATCCTTGACTCAAACAGAGTGGGTCGACACTAGGCAGAATAGGAACAAACTGAAGGCGTGTCTGCCAATGCCCCAGGCAAAGATAAGTGATGAAGACTGCCAGCCTTGCCGCCCTGTGCTCGTGATTTCGAGAATCGACCACATTTCAACCATACTCCAAAGTCGGATGGATTCGACAGTCCATGTTTCATCTCGCCTCTATTTAAAAAGGAGGCAGTGGTTGTAGGGCACATTTCCACAAAGATTGGGTCTCGCTCGGGATTCTTCGCCAAGATTTTTTGGCCAGCAAAGGTTCCAGTCTTTAGGGACCAAAATCCGAGTGTTGCATTGCGGTCGGAGTCGATATACGGCGAAAGAAGTGTTTGCTGGCATGTTGGGTCCACCACCATCCCATTGCATCTGGAAGAAGCGGTTGATAATATACCATCGGAGGGAACTTGGAGGTGGTGCACCACCGAGGTTGCTCGCCGTCGCATCTTACTAGAATCTTGCTCCAACCTTGATGAAATCTGACGCAAGTCGTGTAGCTGAGTAGTACCAAACGATCGCTTCACCAACAGTTGATGATTGGATAGAAACTTAAGGTCGGTGGCGGAACCAAATATCTCGCTAGTGCTGTCTATTGGCAGGTGCTGTAGGATGGTACAACAGCTCTGTGATTGCCGTAGGTCCAACAAAGAAACTTGACCATTTCTATGGCCAAAAGCAATAAATTTTTCTTTTGCACAGGTCATCTCAACTCTTAGTGCATCCGAATGTGGGAAGTTCTGTATATTCAAGCATCGTAGCTCTCCTTCTCTTCCGTCTTCTAACGTCAAGAAAGTTGGAGACAACGTTGCCTTGCCATAGTATCTAGGACAGGCGAAAAGAACCAAGTCTGTGCCAAATACAAAGTCAGTAACTGGCTCTTGTAACATCACTTCAAAGAGGGAAGTGGCATCCGGGAGAGGGTAGCACTGGAATTTGTAGAGCGCGTATCGATCGTCCGACAGAACTACCGTCCCACACCAGCCACTCTTCTCGTGCATGCGTAGTGAATGAACAGGTAACCTATGCCGAGCAATGCACTGTAAGCCCACTTTCACAATGGTCTTGATGGACGTCTAGCTACCTGTTACGTACCCTCGAAGTGTATTGAAGCGTTCTTGTCGTCCATACGCTGCAGTGAAAATTCCAAATCCACCCTGCACCGTGGTCGCAATGGTTGGGAGCTGACCCTCATCAAACGTAACCACATCCATCGTCCTAGCAGCAGAATGTAGGTTGCTCTTACAAGTCAAGTCCACTGGTGCGCTTGTTCCATCGGGCAGCGAGTGATTTCGCCATTTCACCTTTCGAGTGTACAGCAAGGATGCTTTTGAATGCACATGCATTTGACTCAGCAGGTACCGTGAGTGCCATAGGTTCTGTATTCGATTCCGCTGAATCCGAGACAATAATGGGCTCTCGTTGTGAACAGACAATAGTGATCGTGCTGGCAGCTGGGCAATGTCGATTAATGGAGCTACGGACATTCCTCTCAGAACAATGTCTTGCCTTCTTGTTTCAACATTTTCAACAAACGATGTGTCCGTCTCATCCATCCTGTCTTCCTCGAACTCCTTCATCATCTCCCTATCCCTTTCACGCTCAATTTGTCTTTGTCGCTGTCGACGCAAGTCCTCTTCAATGCTGGTTTCAAAGAGGCATTCATCATTCTGGTGGTTGTGTCGCTTTTGGCGCTTGAATTTTTTGTTTTTGCGCCGCGGCATTGTTACTGATTCCTCAAACCAGAGTCTTGGAATACAGAGAATCTTTATTGGTTAGGCCTCTGATGTAGTTATTCAAGCTGCTAGTGTATAGAGGATTGAATGGCATGTCTGATCAATCTCACAAGAAGGTCCACGTTTGCGCATCGTGCTGCAGTATTTTTTATTTGTACGCAATTGGGAAGTAACGCGTCACAGAAAATGCGTGATGATCCCTTCACTGCCACAGCATAGTCCACGCGCACGTGCATCCTGCGTCTTTTTATGCCTTTTTTTCCGGTACTGGTATTTTATTGCATCAGGGGCATCTTTTTTTATGCCTCAAGTATTAAATATGACTGCTTTTTTTATCTTTTTATCGTGAGCAAAAAGTTGTCGAGAGAATTACATGTTGGAAGTCGTACAGACGACTCCCCTGAGTCAGATAGTGACGAGTCTAAACCGTCATACATCAACCGTGAGAGTATGGAGAACCAGTCATGGGCAGATGTTGTTCGAAAGACGAACGATTGAATT